GGCAAAAGATGTTATGTGTTTGTTTGGTCTTTCCTGTGTGGATCAGGCCAGACTTGTGAGTGATGAAGACCCCAGTTGTGCTGTGCAGTCCGGGTGAGAAACCTGACCAGATCGCATAGCTTTAATCTGATGACAGTATGCCTCATTGTCTTCTTTTTTGGACATAGTCTTTTTTCCTGAAGGCTGTAAATTGTACCAGTGGGTAGTCATTTTGTTTTGATTCAGGCATTCAGGAATTGTTTGAAGTTGTATTACCTGTTTGCAGTTGGACAGGTTGATTAGTTCAGATTCGCAGATCAAGTATTTGGTCATCAGACTGTGAATGAGACCATCTTGGGTGGAGAGACTCGTACTTGGAAGGGTTAGATTGGACAGACTGGAGTTGCCCAAAACCAATGAAATGAGATTCAGCAGGGATTTGGGCATGCAGAAGGTTATAGGAACATGCATACAGGGGAAAAGGTAACAATGTAAGGAACTGGGAAACTGTGCGGGTTCAAGTGGACAGAGGTGTGGATTCGAAACCCAAAGATTTGGGCCATTTCTGACTCTGTCACTTTGTACCTGGGTCGTTTTGGGTCTGTTTAAGCTGAACTTCTGATTTTCCCTTTATAACATCCCTTGAATATGCCCCCTCTTCTCCTCTTATGCTGTCACTCACCACCCCAGAGACAGTACAGGCCTTCATCACCCCACACCTGGTCTATTACAATAGCTTCTGGGGGAGCTGATTGCCTCCAGCCTCTCCCCACTCCGGGCCATCTTCCATCAGCCACCCAAATGATTTTCCTAAAGCCCGGGTCTGACCACGTCACCCCCCTTGCTCAGTAAAATCCAGTGGTTCCCTTTCACTGCCAGTATCAAATCCTGCTTTTGACATTCAGAGCCCTTCATGATCTAGTCCTCCTTTGCCCTATGTAGTCTACTGGCTTCTTGGCTGTTACTTGTACAAAATCTTCCATCTCCTGCCTCTTACAGCATTTTCCCTGGCTGTGCCCTGTGCAGAGATGCTTTCTTTTCTCATCTCCACCTCCTAGTTTCCCTGGCTCCCTTCAAGTCCCAGCTAGAACCCTATCTTCTAGGAGAAGCCTTTCCTCATGCCCCTTCATTCTAGTGCTTTCTGTCTCTGATTATGTCCAGTTTATCCTGTAAGTATGTTTTTTATATAGAGCTGTTTTCATGTTGCCTTCCTTACTTGACTGTGATGAGCTCCTCGGGGGCAGGGACTGTTTTTGCCCTTTTCTGGGGTAGCTTTAGCACTCAGCCCAGTGCCTGGCATGTACTTGGTGCTTAAATGACTGACATCTTTAAAATGGAAGGTACTGTAGATGATCTTTCAAAGAGATTATTATCCAAAGATTAGAATGCCTCTCTGGCCCTAAAGTGCTCTGTTGCCAAGGAAACTTGACAGAATCAGAAGCTGAGTGGGAAAAGGAAAAGACAACCTGTTCCTGGAACAGTACCTCTGCTGGGCCCCTTCAGAGGCGCCCTGCATGTTCACTCCTCCCCTCAGTACCCACCGTTCTCTGAGTTCTCCCCCCTCCCGTTGGCCCCATGTCAGTCCCTCCAGAGGAGAGTCAAGCTCTTGAGCATATGTGATTAGCAGCTGCCCTTCCTGGGAGCTGAGACCATTGGAACACTGGGCAGGTCCTCAGGGGGGATGGGAGGCAACCTGCTTTCCTCCTTTTCATTTCTGGGTGATATTTATGATTCATCCGCATTGATTGTGTAAGAGACCTTTGCTGGCAGGCTGACTCAGTGAGCTGCCGCCCCCACAGTGACTCATCCTGATCCATAGGCGGCCATGGCCACGACTGTGCAATTATCAAGCAGTACCAAATTCAGAATGGCCTCTCAGAGCTCTGTCTACTTAACTGGAAGGTCATGAGTTGTGTTTTTTTCCTTCTTCCCCTGAAGTCACCACTCTCAGAAATATTTTATTCATTTAAATTGAAAAGTGATTAATGGTTAATTTGTCTTGTTACTTCCGAACAAACAACTAAAACCCTTCTATAAAATACATTCCCTGAAAAAAGTTAAGTGAGCAGAAAGAATGGAAACGTCCTTTAATTTGGGTGGTATGGAACTGGCGTTGCCTGTCATATTTGACCAGTTTCATCGATTCTCTCCTGGACCTTATGGTTTCCATTATTGTGGTCATGGTGTATATTATCCTTTCAGTTCTCGCTTTCTCTGTCTGCATTTCCTTCTTTAAGTCTTCCTGTGTTCTTCCGGTTCTTCTCAGCCATCTTTCCTTATGGCTCAGTGATGATAATGGTGATAGACTTCATTTGTCTAGCTCTTTAAAGCTTGCAAAGCACTGTACAAATTGGGTGTTCTGTGCTCTTCTTAGCCCCCCCTCCCCTTCACAGAGGAGCAGGTGGGTCTCCGAGGTTTACCCAAGCTCACGCAGCTGCTTTGACTTCTCCTCGTGTACCTGTAGAAAGATATCTGTTGATAGTCTTCCTGTTACAGGCAGCTGGTAGCTCAGGGAGTGGAGTGCTGGGTCTGGAGTCAGGAAGTTCACATCTGGCTTCAGACACTTACTAGCAAGTCACTTACCCTTTTTTTGCCTCAGTTGCCTCATCTGTAAAACAGGGATGATAGCAGCAAGTGGATGGGTCCAGTGCAGCCTTCTACTGGGAGTGAGGTGGACAGTGCTGAAGGGAGTGCTGGTGAGTGGGTTGGGCACTAGGGGTTAGCCTTCTTTGTTTTTAGTTCATTGAATCTTTACTTTGTGTGTCATGGAGACTGTTAAAATCCATGGTATCCAGCTCCTGTTTTGGAGAGGTGGGAGAGGCCGTGAGACTTGGATAAAATGTCTGATCCTCTCTTTTATTAAAATTAATTTAGTTTGACTTATCAGCAATCACTTCCATAAACTTTTGAGTTGTAAATTTTTCTCCCCCTCCCTCTCTAATATGGCACACAATCTGATATAGGCTATACATATACATTCCTATTAAACATTTTCATATTAGTGATGTTGTAAGTAAGAATTAGAACTAATAGGAGGAACCACCAGAAAGAGGAAACAAAACACAAAAGAAAAAAATAGCAAATAGTCTGCTTCAATCTGCATTCAAACTCCATAGTTCTTTCTTTGCATGTGGATAGCTTTTTCCATCACGAGGCCTTTGGAGATATCTTAGATCCTTGTATTGCTGGGAAGGGTTAAGTTTATCAATATTAGTCATCGTATAATGTGACTGTTACTGTGTACAACATTCTCCTGGTTCCACTCACTTCACTCATCATCAGACCATACAAGTCTTTCCAGGTTTTTCTGAAGTCAGCCTGTTCATTTCTTATAGCACAATAGTATTCCATTACATTCATATACCACAACTTGCTCATCCATCCCCCAGTTGATGGGCATCCTCTCAATTTCCAATTCTTGGCCACTACAAAAAGAGCTGCTATAAATATTTTTGTACATGTGGGTCCTTTTCCCATTTGTATGATCTCTCTGGGATATAGCCCTAGAAGTGCTGTTGCTGGGTCAAAGCGTACGCACATTTTTATAGCTCTTTGGGCATAGTTCCAAATTGTTCTCCAAAATGGTTGGATCATTTCACAACTCCACCCAACAATGCATTAGTGTCCCAATTTTCCCACATCTTCTCCAACATTTATCATTTTCCTCTTTTGTCATGTTGACCAATCTGATGGGTGTGATGTGGTACCTCAGAGTTGTTTTGATTTGTATTTCTGTAATCAATAGTGAGTTAGAGCATTTTTTCACATGACTATAGATGGCTTTAATTTCTTCATCTGAGAACTGCCTGTTCATATCCTTTGACCATTTGTCAATTGGGGAATGGCTTGTATTCTTATAAATTTGACTTAATTCTCTCTATATTTTAGAAATGAGGCCCTTATCAGAGAGACTGGTTGTAAAAATTCTTTCGCAGTTTTCTGCTTCCCTCCAAAACTTGATTGCATTGGCTTTGTTTGTGCAAAAACTTTTCAATTTAATGTGATCAAAGTTATCCATTTTGCTTTTCATAATGTTCTCTATGTCTTGTTTGGTCATGAATTCTTCTGTTTTCCATAAATCTGATTGGTAAACTATTCCTTTGCTCTCCCACTTTGCTTATAGTATCAGCCTTTATATCTAAATCATGACTTTATTTTGACTTTATTTTGGTATATGGTATGAGATTTGGGTCTATGCCAAGTTTCTGCCATATTCTTTTCCAGTTTTCCCAGCAGTTTTTTTCAAAGAGTAGGTTCTTATCCCAGAAGCTGGGGTCCTTTTCCTTTTCTGTATGATATCTTTGGGATACAGCCCTAGAAGTGCTGTTGCTGGGTCAAAGGGTATGCACAGTTTTATTGCCCTTTGAGCATAGTTCCAAATTGCTCTCCAGAATGGTTGGATCAGTTCACAACTCCACCAACAATGCATTAGTGTTCTGTTCATTGGACTTTGAAAGCAGATCTCCTTGTTACGGATGCAATGAGGAACAAATACTACATTATCCAAAAGGGGTAATGTAGGTAACCAAGGCTAGAAGAGGGGTACAGTCAATTTGAAGTGACTCATCTGACTGGTTTTAATATACATTTTCATTTGGAGCCTATTAAACATCAGCCTGAGAAGGTCAGTTGCTTGAGATTTGTTGGAGCTAATGAGCAGACCTAGATCTAGTCTGTTTCTTAAGTGTCGGGGTAAAGGATGACACTTAGCCAGAGCTAGTCAGTCAGTACCCTTAGCTGAAGGTGTCCAAGGGGAGATACCAGCTATCTTTTCGTGGTCCCTGTTAACTAGTTATTTTTATTGGAATTAGAGAGAAATCTCTCAAGGGGCCGGAAAACTCATCACGGTAACGGACACACGTAGTCTGAATCAGTTGGTTTGGAGAAGGAAAAGGAAGACATGCGTACGGGAGCAGCCATCGAGCCTGCTGCTCCCTGCTGTATCCACCTTGAGGACTGACTCGATACTTTCCCCCATTTCAGTCACTCTCTGATAGCTCTCTCTCTGAATCTGCTTCCAGGCTGAGGCCAGACTGGCAGCCAAGCGGGCTGCCCGTGCTGAAGCAAGAGACATCCGGATGAGGGAGCTGGAGCGGCAGCAGAGAGAGGTAAAAGGGAGTGGGGGGAGGGCGCGTGAGGAGATCGCCCCGAGAAAAGGAGAGCTGTCCCACAGCCCGTGACCAAAGCTGAACAGACACCACCAAGTAGAGGTTGGCAGGTAGACACGTGAGCGCACACGGTATGGGACATTAGGGATGTTCTGGAAAGTCGCCCATGTCATGAAAGAAGTCAGAATGTTCATCTTGAGGTGTGTGGAAATTGGGGTGATTACTGAAATTCACCAGTCATTTTCCTCCTCTTCCATTTGGCTCAGGCTCTGCAATTTCTATATTCAGAAAGCTTTTGATGCCATATACCAAAATGTTCTATGATGGGGAAATCATCCTGGCTGTAATAGGAGAAGATTCCTTTTGATGTTGGAGACTGGTCTCTTGATTATGCCCTTGAAGAAATGGGATTTACAGCTCCTTTGTTGTCCCAGCATCATCTAACCCTATGCTTTACGCATGGAAATCATAGTACATCTGAGACAGATGGGGCCATTGCTTAGCAGCTACCCTCAAGTTCTTATCTGTCCTTTCAGACCAGTGGGACTACTTCTTTCATGCTTGGCCTACCCTTGACTAATTAACACTGAATTTTCCCTGTGTAGCCCTCTTACGTTCAGTAACCTGTCTTGTTACTGCTAAGATGTAGACGGTGCTGTGAATGGACTACTCGTGGAAGACTCTCACTCACTTCCACAGTTTTGTGAAATAACGTTTTTGCCTTCTTAGCCCTCCCATCGTTCTTATGATCGAAAATGGGGCCAGATTCAGAAGTGGATGGTAGGCCCAGAAAGACTACCGTCGTGCATGGGATGTGCACTTCCTGACAAAGTGGAGTGAAGTGGCCATGTACTAATTGTTTGCAGCATGCACCACTGTGTGAGAATGTTTGGAGTTTGTCTGGGGGAGGGGGGGGTAGCCGTTTTATTTTGTCCAGTAACCTCACATTTGTGTCATGAACAGTCCTATGCAAGAAGGGCCTGGGACACTGTTTCTACTAGAGTTCCTTTTGTGAGTGTGGTGTTTTTTTTTTTTTTAGGTCTTGGTCTCTTAATGTATTTTTGGTCTTGAATTACTAGGTTGGCAGGATGTGTTTGAAGGATGACCCAAACCATTCTTCTAAAAATGTCTTGGAGGATTTTGCTAATCTTGTCATTTTAGCTTTCTTAGCTTCATCTTTGTTCAAGGGCCCTGCCCATGTCCCCAAATTGGATGCCACAAGAGGAAGCCATGAACCAGAGGGAGGCTTCCCAATGGCAGCTGGGAATAACTGCTTCCAGCTCTTTCTATCAAAATGTGTGATGGGCAGACTTCCTGACCGGCCCCTGCTCGTAGCACACAAGTTTCTGTTGGAATTCAGTTTAGTCTTTTCAGGCAATTAAAAAGTACAGTCAGGAGACTGATTAAGACTAGAATGTAATTCAGCAGAATTATTTATAAGCTAAAACCTCCACTAAAACAAAAGGTATAGGAGTGATATTCTTTAGAGAAAGCTCCACAGGCTTGTGATCCAGGTGACAGACATTGAAAATCTGCTCTCTGTTTGGAAATTGCTGGAGGTGGAGCAGAGAAGGAGCTGTTTGGAATGTGGAGAATAGTGGACTTCCCCTGGCCTGTGTTCTGATGTTTTCTTATTTTCATTTATTCCAGAAAAGAGAAATGATTCAGTGCCACATATGCACACAGATGACCAGGAATGACTGTTTTGGAATATCACTTTGGGCTAACTGGAGGCTTTCAAGTTATCAGTGGGCAAATATTTGCTTCATTAACACGGCATTCTAGTTTCTGTGTGTGAGAAAAAAGTTTGGTTTTTAACAGTTTTTATATCTAGCATTCATCAGTTCCTTTGAATTTTAATAATGTTCCAGATCTTTTCTGATTTGATAAAGTATTAGAGGTAAATCTACGAAGAACAGAAGGAAAGCCGGTATGATGATTTTCCTTAGAGGGCCAGTCTTGAAGTCAGGCAGGCCTGAGTGTAACACATCATAGGCTTTATAACCATGGTCATACCTTCTTGATATCACAGTGCCCTAGGCAGCTCTGGAAGAGTCTAAATTACAGATCTGCATTAGTAGAGGGAGTTTCCACACTGGGAATTCTCTACACTGACGCACTCATTGTTCCAACCCCCACCCAAATAAACAAAAAACGAGGAGTGGGATTAAACATAGGTTTGCATCTGTGGTCACAACTTAAGATAAAAAAAAATCTCCTGCGTTACTGGCCCTCCAGTATTTTACATTCTACCTGGGGAGAAAGACTGCATTTCACAGTTTGCCGTCTAGCCCCCTTGATGCCCCAAGTGTGGGACAAGACGAGAATGGAAGTCCTGGCTGGTAGTGGTGGTGGTGGGGGGGGGGCATTCCTTGGCCTCCAGAATCAGAGCTCTGTCTGAGTGTTGCACATCACTGCCTCTAAGGTCCATCCAAATGAAGGACCTTTCACTCAGATACAAAAGTGGCAGCAGGCCTCTCAGCTGTTTTGATGGCATCTACCCTCTCTTAAAAATATGCTTGTGGGAGAATCAAGCCTTTCCCCATCCAGGGCAGCTTGTGTTACTTCTCGTGGCTAAGTCGGCTATTTCTAAGGCTGGCCAGCCCCTTGTGGTTGCGTTTTAAGGTCATAGTTTTTGTTCTTATTGAAGTCCCTGGTACTGTGTAAGGGATGTTTGCAGAGCAAGGCAGATTGTGAGTGGTGTTTTGCCAGAACCGTTGACCTTAACCGCAGAACCTTTCGTTGCTGGATGGCACTGCCCAAGGTCTCTGATCCCCGAGCTCAGTTGTCCAGACCTTTCCATCGTGGGCAGTGTTGACATGGTTGGCCGTTGGCTGCGCTTGAGCTCGATTAGCTTTGCTGCATGTGTCTGTGGGCTCTTCGTCAGTGACTGACTCTTCATATATTCTCTCCTTTCTCAGGAAGATGTAGAAAGAGCCAGGTATTCTCACCGGGCCAGCCGCCATCGTCCCCACCTGGTTTGTAATAGTGTCTGTTGATGTTCTCTCTCAGTCTTTGGACTTGCCTCTTTAATCCGTTCACAGACAAATCACCATTTTCTTTTTATTATCAGGGAGTTGAGGATGTACTGTCCACTCGAAGCATTGGCAGTCACAGGGTTAGTATGGGTACCATTTTTGTGGTGAGAGCGCAAACTTGTTTGTGTGAGCTTTCAGAAGAGTCAGTGTCTGAAGGATCTCTGGGGTCATCAGTTTTCCATTTTTTCTATTGTGGAGAAACAATCAAAATGTCATTCAAACAGTGATTGAAAAAAACAGTAATGAAGTAAACTCATTTCACATCAAACATTTCCATCTTCTGTAAGCATTTGTGTCTGTCCTGTGGTCTAATTATGTCTGCTTTGGGAAAATTCGTAAAGTAATTGCAAATTGGTGTTACTTATCAGACCTGTTGCCCTGATTGGAACTGAATGTCTGGGTTTTTCCCCCTCCTTTTTTTTTTTTAATGAATTGATTGTTTTAAAAAATTGGAACGATCTTTGGAATTTAGGGGAAGCTTCCTGATCTGGAAGCTCTTGACCTAAAGTGGTCTGGAAGGAGGAGGCCCCTCTGGCAGGCTCCCTGTTGTGTGGGAACTCCCTGGGGCACAGCCCATGGACCACTTCTCTTGGGGCAGATGTGGTGGAAAGCTCCTGGGCAGTGAGGGGAAAACCACAGTGTTCTTGCCAGGTAGTTGTTGCATTCTGGAGATTCCCCTACTAGGCGGAAAAAGGAACAACTTTGTATGTGAGGCAGGGCCATTCCCAGGACAAGTCTGGGAGGCCCTTCGCTGTTCACTTGGTTTTCAAGGGGGCCTGCTTTTGGTGTTCAGAAATGTCTCTGTTCAGCTAAAGTCATTTTAAACCAGCCCCTTTGTGAAGGGGGAAGGAGGGACATGCAGACACGCAGAACCTGTTGTCAGTCGGCCCAGCAAAGAAGCCTTCTGAGTGCATTCGTCGTGGGCTCATGCTTATTTGAAGCGTATTTAGACCAACGGCTGAGTTAAGGAGATGATTCTGTGAGTGCTCAGTGGACCTCTTAGACTTCTGACATAAAGTAACCAGAATAGAAAATGAATCACGCCAGCGGAGTTGGATTTTCATTGGGAACAGTTAGGCCCTTCACTGTTCATATACTTAGTGTCTGTGACCTCAGTGTAGTCCCTAGCTGGGAGCATGTGCTCCCTCTCCGGATTTTCTGAGAGTCTGTCAACAAGCATTCATTTGTGTACCAGGCACTGTGAACTCCAGTGATATGTGGGGCACCAAGATGCTGTCCCTGCCCTTTGGGGGCTCCCAGTCTAATGACTGCAGAGCAGATAGACAGTAATCTCAGAGGGAAGGTGCTGGCAGCTTGGGGGCACCCCGAAATGTTTCCTGCAGAAGGGGAAGGAAGCCAGGGAAGCTTCAGGAGGTGAGGGAGGAGAACATTCCAGGCCCAGGGTGGCATTGAGGGAGCAGCTGGTAGCTCAGTGAGGCGTAGCTTTGCTAGGAAGTATAGTGAGGGGAGTGAAGTGAGGAACACAAGAGAACAGAAGATGTTCTGTTTGATGGGAAATAGAGCTCACTGAGCAAGGCAGGGACTTGGTTAGATGGATGCTTAAGAAGCATCTCAGCTTTGACAGCTGGGAAGGGGATGGCCTGGAGGCAGGGAGGCCGAGGAAGAGGCTATTGCCATGGTCCAGGCAGTTGGTGATGAGGACCTGCCCTCTTTGGTCTGCTCTGTGAAGGCAGAGAGAGGGCATGGGCAAGAGGGCTGTGCAGGCCTGGAGGACTGGGAGGATAGTGGTGCCCATGATGGTGCTAAGAAGTTTGGAAGAGGGGGACAGATGGGGGAAAGATGATGGATGACCTCTAGAGTTTTAGAGATGTGGAGTTTAAGGTGTCCAATAGGCGGTTGTAGGTGGAGGCTGGAGGTCTTCAGAGAGCTTGGGATTGGACAGATAGAAATGCAGTGGACTCCATGGGCATCCATGGGCATTGAGATGATGACCAGAGAGAAAGAAAGGAGAGTAGCCAAAGACACTATGGGAGGACATCTCTGCTCCTGGCCTTGCCTGCCTCCTACCTCCTTATGTTGGAAGGATGTGCGAATCGGAGTCCCTCCCATAGAGGACAGGCCTGGGGCAGGTCTGTATCTCCTGCCAAGCACAGTGCCCTGTATACAGAAGGAGCTAATGAATGGGTGACTCATTACTGTCTCTTAATTTCATTTAAAAACATTTAAAAACTCTGGCTGTGTCTTAGACCCACTGCAGGCAGAGTGGGGCACTCTGGAAGGAGAAAGCACCACGTGTGGGCTGTAAATTGCCTGAGGCTGAGGTTTGAGGCTGAGCCCTTTGTAATAGAAAGCAGTGCTTTTCAAATTGGGTTTCTGGGATGTCTTTTGGTCTCTTTTTTAGCATGATTAGGATACTTTACCTGATCTTTTTTCCTTACATTTGCTTTCTAAACCTCCAGTCTACTGGAGAGTCATTTTTTTAAAAACAATTTTGTTTATTTTTTTGTGAAGCAGTTGGGGGTTAAGTGACTTGCTTAGGGTCACTCAGCTAGTGAGTGTTATGTGTCTGTGGTTGGATTTGAACTCAGGTCCTCCTGACTCCAGGGCTGATGCTCTATCCACTGTGCCACCAAGCTGCCCCCAAGAGTCATTATTTTAAGGACACACTCGTCATCATAGACAGTTTTCCATATGTACTTTTCATGTTTATTTTTAGAAAAGCAAGGTCATAGTCACACACACTAGCACATGCCCTGTAACATTGCCCATTGATTTCAGTGCGGTCACTCAGGACCACCACTTTTGGTCAGCGTTACGAATCCTTGACCTTGACCTTGAAAATCTTTAGTCCAGATTTCTCTGTATCACCACTGTCCCCATACAAACCCCCCCTTTTCTTTTTCACTTGAGGAAATTGAAGCCCAGAGATGGGAAGGGTAGGCAGTGCCAAGATCTGACACCTGTCATTGCAGAACTGTGATTAGAAGCTAGGTCTCTGAATTCCACATCAGGGCTGCTTTGGCTTTAATGTGTTTTGGCTTTTAAAATCGATCAATTTATGGTGCTAATCAAAGTGTTGGATTTTTTTCCTTCTCATTTCCTTCAAAATGTGACCAAATCCATCGCCACTGGAAACTCAGTATGATACTCTGAAGGCTCGCTCTACGAAGCATTCATCTTCAGTATGTGGTCCATTTGCATGGTTCTCTGTTAAATCATTAATATAATTTTTTTAAGTTCTTGGCATTACTAATCAGACAATATGCTGGTATTTCGGCATGCCATGATTTTAATTAAATGCTTGGCTAGCCAAAAGCAAATAATACTATTATAAAATTTTGAAATAGTTAACCATTTTGGGTGGGGGGAGTTGCCTTTGGAAATTGCAAGAATCTATCAAAGATAAACCCCATTCCTCTAAGAATTAAGAGATTGCTGCTAACACTGTCTTTTCTTGAAATAGCAAGTTCCTGATGATGAATTTTCCTAACTATGTTAGCCTGATCAAGTTTGAAAGCATGTGGAGCAGAAGTGGGCCAGGTTCATGGGTGTGGCCTGCGATTTCCCTGAGCATGGTGTGTCTGTCACTGCCCGGCTCTCGGGCAGCCCCCAAAGGCCTTTTTCTCATGATTGGGTATTCTACTTTGACCCGAGAGCTGCAGCAAGTGAGGGGCTGAGTGTGGCTAGAGCTTGTCTTCAACTTCCAGCCTCTGTGCAGCCAGTCACTTAGGATTTTCTAGAGGGAAGAGGACCTAGAATGATTTAAAAAAAAAAACCAAAACCATTTATCAGTCTTCTAGTATTGAGAGTTTACTTTGGAATGGAGCTGCCTGTGTACATATCCCAGAGACCTGTCAGGTCATCACTGGATCCAAGCACAGAGACAAGTCCTCCTAGAACAAGGGGTCTTGATGTACCCAGAACCCCTTGTGTCCACATCGTTTCTCCTCTGTTGTCCTGTCAGACATGGTCATTCAGCCCTTTGTGGGGGCAGATGTTTCCCCCCTAAACATCTGACCCTGAAGTATTCCGCCATAGGTAGAGAGTGCATGTCCGTGCACACAACCACACACATGTTCATGTATACGCCAGCGCGCACACACACACACACACACACACACACACACACACACACAGACGGTTTTTGTAGTGGAGGCAGTGAGTTCTACTTGGCTGATTCCTGTTCCTTTGCGTGGGTGGCCACGTAGTGAGACAGCTGACCTGGGGTGTGACCCCCGTGACTGTGGGCAACGTTCTCTTTGTGCCGTCCCTCCTCAGGCAGAGAGCTCTGGGTATCCTCAGCCCTCCCTTCAGACGCCCATGCTGACTGAAACCCTCCGCACCCTACACGGGGAGATCTGTGCTCAGACTTGAGTAGTTTCAGAATAGAACAAGATGGGTGCCAGTTCTCAGGCCAGACTTTTGGTATCCATTGACTCAGTGGATAATCCCCTCCCTTGGTTTATTGACAGTTGGCTGCACAGAGGCTGTCTCAAACTCACTCTTCGTCTGGGATTCTCTTCAGCAGGTTAAACATGGATTTTAGTTGACTTTGACTGTGGTGATTGGTCTAAAAAAATCCTGGTATTTATTTAATGAACATATTTGCTTCCAGAGCCATGCTTATGGTGACTCTTCCAGCATGAAGAGGAGGTCTTCTAGCTCCTACAGAGACCCCTTGGTTAGTAGTGGTGTGTGTCCCTTGTAGGCACTGCGTGCGCGTACATTGTGCTAAGGCATCGTCTCCCCCAGAATGTGACTTTCACTTCAACTGATGAGGCAAGTCGGCATCCTTAAAGCCCTTCATGACCCTTGGTAACGCTGGAATTCCCATTGAAGAGGTTTCATTTAGTGTTATATTTACTGCCAGGACTTCACAAAGTTCTTCACAGCACAGTGGCTGTTCCGTCCTGTGGATTCCAAGGTTATCATTAAGGAAGTGCCCGTTTCCTTCTTTTAGAAAGTATGTATCTGAAGTAATTTTTATGTTACTGGCTGTACCCAGTGATGGAGAGATTGTGATCCCACAGTTCTTTTGTAAGTTGGAAAGCATTTTCTCATAGAAACAGTGTATTGTATGTGGTGGTCAGGTGACTGGGCCGGTCGGCAAAGAGACCTTGAGTCCCTGGTGTAGCCTGGCCGCAGCACTAGTGATAATTCCTAAGCGTCCTTCACCATAGCCGCTTTCTGTGGGAGAATGTGTCCAGGTCAGCAGTGATCAATGCCAAGAACATCTCTGACCCGGGAGCCCGAGGGGGCCATCGCCCAGCCCCTGGCCACTGGTAGTAATTCCCAAGGCTGGGCTGGGCTGGGCCGGGCCAGCATGGAGAGATTGGGTTCTGTCAGTGGTGCGGTGCTGATACCTGAAAGGCAGGAGTGTCTCCAATGGGTAGGGCCGGGTGCTTGCCAAGGGATGTCCAGGCAGAGCTGGGGGGCAGCGGAAGGGGGATGCAAGGAGGGAAAGGATGTTGTGAGATGGGAGAAGCTGTGCCTGTGCTTGTCAGAGAGGTCTGCCCTGTTTGTGGACGAGGCCGCTTCTGGAATGACCCCTGGAGTCTGGCCGCTGCCTATGTTTGCTATGCCTTATCAAGAACTTGAGATAGGCAGTCATAGACCTAGTTGAGGTTCCTTAAACAAAAATGGGATGCACAATTATTGGCCTTTTGTGACATTGAAAGAAAGCCTGCTGTTACTGAAGATTGTGACAACGGTTTACCTGAGTTTCACTTCTTCCCCTGATTATTCTTTGTATGACTCCCGGGGCCTTGATTTCTTCATCTGTAATATGGGACCACAGGACTGGAGTTGGGAGGTCTCAGAAGAGAAGGAATTTCCAGTCTTTTCAATGGTTTTGCCAAATGGGTTTTAGAAAAAAAGCCATTATTTACTTGCATGAAATTTTCATGGACCCTCATCAGTCTGGCCTGAAAGTTAATGACTTATTTTCATTCCTTTTGGCTGAGGATCGTTTTTTGTAAAGAAGGAAATGCTGGTAAGAATGGAGTTTGGAAGCAGTTTAACGTCTGCCTTTTTAGGGAGAGACAACACGCTAATGATGTTGCTCTGACTTCGGTTTAATATGTTCCAGCACTTTGGGCTGCGGGTTTTGGGGACAGTAGCCTTGGTAATAGCAAAATAAACTCTTTTGTGCTTCACAAAACCCTCCCTTTCTCTGTCTTCTCCATTACCGTCAAAGGCAATACCACCCTGCTCCCAGGCCCTCGGGCTCCCAGCCTAGAAGTCATCCACCCCTCTCTCTCAGACCTCCCCCCCCCCCCCGTATATCCAAGCTGTCGCCAAGGTTTGTTGATTTCACCTCTGCAGCATCTCCAGATTACACCCCCTTCTCTCTGACACTGTCACTCCCTGGTCCGAGGCCTCCTCATCTCACATCTGGACTATTGTAGCAGCTGCGTGGGGGAGGGGTGGGGGGTATCTGCCTGTCTCGAGTCCACTCCAGTCCATCTTCCACTACAGTGATTTCCCTGCCTTGCAGGTCCACTCATGTCAAACCCTTTTACCTCCAGGAGGAAATGTTTGGCCTTCAAAGCCCTTCTTAACCTGTCCTTACCTACCTCTTCAGTCTTCTTTCACGTTCCTCCTCAGCACATACTCTTCCATGCACTGACACCAGCCTCCTCCTGGCTGTTCCACTCTCCTGGCCCCAGGCCTTTTCTCGGGCTGTCCGCCGTGCCTGGAAAACTGTTTTGCTGCTGCTCCAACCACTGACCTCCTTAGCTTCCTTTAAGCCCCGACTACAGCTTCCTCTTCTGCAGGAAGCCTGCTCCAACCTTTTCCTTTGTGGACGACTACCTGTTTATCCTGTCTGTAGCTTGCTTTGTGGGTATTTGTTTGCATGTTAGGTCAGGGACTATCTTTGGCACCACCGTGCTTGGCCCATAGTAGGCCCTTAGCAAGTATTTATTGTGTATTGTTCATTTTGTTTCATTCCCATTGTTAGAATGGAGTCAACGTTAAGCCATGCTCTTCCATTTTGCTTCTTGCAGAAAGGCCTCTACTATGACCAGAGGAACTATAGCAGCCTCAGACACAGCAAGTCCCCCTCTGCCTACTACACTCGGGTCTGTTACTCTCTTGCTTCTGCTCATTTAAGGGTCTTTTATGCTTTTAGCTTAGAACTAATCTGTGTGAGGTGACGATGCGTGGACATTGTGTTTTGGTGACTTGTTCATGTTTTCTGGGTGACTGTTGACTGTGTCCTGTGTTGGCACACATGACAGGTGGCCCATGCCTGTACAGGGGAATCCTGCTTTAATTAACCTGATAGGTGGTTTAGTAGGGAGAGGGCCGTTATTTTTGCCATATCCCATGATACTCGAGTCTTTACTAATTTTCTGTTATTTTCATCTATTGACACCAGTATTAAATGATCATTAAAGTATAAAAATATTTTTAATACTTAATAAATACATTTCTTCTCAAGCTTTCAGTAATAGCCTGGAGAAGTATTGCTAATGACTTTGTTTTATGCTTTTGGGTAATTGTGTCCAAAATTGATCCCAGATTGTGAAGTAACAAGTTGTGGGTTTAATTCTTGTCTTGCCACATGATAACAGGCTTTTTTGTTTTTTGTTTTAAAACAGTCTTCTTCCTTGTGCAGTGACCCTCTGGCGACTTTTAAAACTCACAGGGTTAGTACTGTATGAGATCTGAGTTGTCGTTTGAACTCCTCCTTGCTTTTTTTCAGATTAGAAAAAACCCTTTTTTTGTAGGTTTCTCGTGCAGTAGACACTGGTCTGATGAGAAGTGCCAGTTTGGTTCGTATGTGCCCCACTCCCACCCCCGATCATGCATGATGGGGGGCTCCTAACGGTGTGACTTGGCAGCATACGTGTGAATAAAGCAAGGCCTCCTAGGTCAGCTGTCACAAGCTATAAAATAATTGTGCCATCTGTCATCTCCGAAGATGGTGCTCCTGGCCCGTCATGTAGAGTCCTGATGCCTAGACTGTGTAGTCAGGGGGAGTCACTGCACAGTTCTGCTCTCTGGTCCCCTAATGGGGAGTAACATGCTTAGGAGGCAACTGGTTGGGCTGGCACTGATGCTCTTGGCTTTAGACCAGAGGGGAGAGGGGCTTGGCCCACGTGGCCACATCTGCACCTCACTGGGGACTGACATGAGAGCAGACGCAGCAGGTTCTCTCCAAGCAGCCTTGGCTTTAGGTGGCATGGCCTCATGGCTGACATTGAGGACTTGGAATCTGGTGCTTGCACTTGGCTGAGGCTTTCTTCCTTTTTCTGTATCTGCTTCCCCCGTGACCTGTCTCATCAAGCAGATTGATCCTTGCCAATGTATAGACCACAGACAAAATAAGTTATTAGTATTTGATGGTCATTGCTCATTTTTTACTAATAATGAGAACGGCAGATTTGGGTCTGAATCGCTTTTGGCTGGTCACAGAAATCAGATTCATCTTCCAAGGAGTCAGGTTTGCCTTGCATCCCTCTCGTGGCCCTGACGCTTGTCACATCATGAGCCTCACTTCTCACGTCTGGGAAATCTGGACGATAATACTTGCACTCCCTCACAGAGTTTTTAGAAGAAAACTGTTATTGACCCCAGTGGAGCAATAGTTGGTGTAAGATGCCAGTGTCATTGAGGAAAGGCTCCGAAGACACTTCCTTCTTTAAGATTTGCCCAAATCCACTTCTCCTCCTTGTTTGATCCAGTGTGGGAGGGCAGGTGCTGGAGTTAACTCCTCCTATCATGCAGAATAACCATTTAGCATTTGTGAAACCCTTGGAGGGAGAAGCCTGTGTTGGGCAGTGAGGCCCAAGATGGGAAGCCGAAGACAGCCCCTGCCTTCAAGGGGCTGACCTTCTTTTGTAGTCACCATGTACACAAAGAAATGCATAAGAAATGCCAGCAGAGAGTCTGGGTTGCCCAGCAGCAAAGGGACTTGCCCACGTCATGTGGCCAGTTTTGTCCACAGTGGGACTGGAAGCCAGGTCTTTCTGGCTTCAGGGCAGGCTCTCTCTCTGCTATGCACTGTGACCAGGACTCTGGTTTCCATTACTAGACTTCATCTCCCAGCACCTCTCAAACCATTATTAATATTGTAAGAGCATATTAAAGGCATGACCCTAATTTCTCAGGACTCTCTTGTGCGAGACGAAAACAGATCAGATTGATGTTTAGGGGCTAGGCGGAAGAGTGCCCAGGTCCTGTGAGGGCAGGGCAGGGGGTGAAGACATTGAAGTGTTCCTTAGCACCTCCAAACTGGTTGGACCCCAAGTGGACAGCTGATGTGCATTTGTCTGGCAGGAAACCGTGGCCTTTTGTAGCCTCTCGGACACTGAAGGGACACATCTTTCCTTTGTTCTCTAGGCATCGCTGGGTGATGTGGGATTGTACAACCCGTACAGTTCTCGGACAGTGAGTCTTCACCAGGGGAATGGGGAGTTTGAGGATGGTGGCGCACATGTGTGCATGCGTGTGTGCGCGTGTGTGTGTGTGTGTGTGTGTGTGCGTGCGTGCGCGAGGCGGGAGATACACTTCACTGATGGGAAAGTGCCATTTTTCAAGTACCCCTCTGATCTTCTCACCTCCCTGGGACCGTTCACCAGCCCTGTACATGAGGCAGACGGCTAGACAACAAATTATGGCCTTGGGGCAGATCATTTTCGCAGGGTGGCTAAAACTTTGTTTGGTGATACTTCTCACGTCAACAAACATTTATTAAGCACCTGCTGTGTGCCATCAAGAACAAAAGACTGCCGATCCTGCAATAGAATAAGCAGATGGATTGTCCTTCTCCTTTCCCTTTAGCCCCCATAGAATGAGGATACTTTGCCCAGAAGCGCTTCTGGGTAACCCTCTGCCCTGGCTCCTCCGGGTGGCAAGGACTCAGTCTTTACCTGATTCCCTAGGGAGCAGCAGCCCCCCCCGGGGGCTGGGCCCTGCCTTAGATCTCTTAGGAATCAATGGCCAGTTTCGAGGCCCATGTACTAATGAGAGTGTCAGAGGAGCCGAACACTGTTTTCAAACCTTTCTTCTTGCCAATTTTGTAGCCGTCGGAATATAGTCACTCGTCGAGAGCAAGTTCATCCCGGAGCAGCCCTGTGGTGAGAACTGTTGCTGCCTGTTGGCTCTGTACAGTGTGAACACCTAGTGGCCTAGCCCCCTGGGACGCATTTCTAACCTTCAGAGTGCAGAGCACTGGGTGTTCCTATGCATGGAGTGGCAGTTTCACACGAGTAAAACTAAGCCTGCTAACCTGAGAATTAATTGGTCTTCAGGAAGCCGCTTCTTACAGTTGTGTCTTCTCCTTCTCCGAGCGTGGAGAGCGTAATCTTAGAGGTTTCTGATGTAGCTCTAGAGCCTGTGCGTGTGAAGGAGGCAGTGGGAGGCGGTGGGAAGAGCCCTGCCTGGCTTTGGAGCCAGAAGATAACCCCTGCTACCCGAATGACCTTGGGCAAGCCACTTAGCCTCTCTAGACCTCGGCTTGTTCACCTGAAAAATGAGAGGCTTGGGTGATGGTCCCCAGAGTTCCCTTCTAGCTGTAGACTGATGATCCGTTGAGGCGATTCCACTTTTCATGGATTAATGGATGATCTTTGGGTTTGTAGAGGACCTGAAATGCTTTTCCTCTCACTCAGGTAGGTGAAAACATAGGTTCGTTAGCATCAATCAGCACTATAGGGTAGGAAAAAAAAAACTTTGCACAATAATTCCAGGTAGACTTTCCTTCTTCTTTCACCATGGCCAGATACCTTTCCTGGGTTAAGCAAGGAATTAGTAGTGGAATTAGCATCAATATAGGAATTTTAAAAGAATTTTCACATGTAGGGAAAGATTTCTTTTCACTCACATGGCACAAATCTACTTGTTTTTCAGGAAATTTAAATATAATGGTTGATACCTTCCATCCATTTTAAAATGTGACAGATCTCTATGTGTCCATCTGTCCGTCCATCCATCCATCCATCAGCAGAACTTTGTGTTTTGGTGGCTGGGCTATTGTACTTCATCTTGGAGTGGAGTTCATAGTCCTTCCTTCACTTTGACATGAGGTCTATTACCCTGGAAATAAGCTGAAGAGGTTTGGATGAAAATTTAGTTGTGTGATAGACATAGATTGATATATGCATATATTTGCAAATGGTATTTCAGTATGAGATTCTTTTTATTTACTTATTTATTTGGCAGAAGTATTTTTATTTTGTGCAGAATTATATGTGATTATTATATGTGCCACATATAACTGCCATAATTGATGAAACAATTAGATTTGAGGGTAGAGAAGTATTCTGCATATACATGACAACATTCCCGTTACCAGTGGCTACCTTTTAGCTCAACAGCAGAGGTTCTTAAGCTTTCTTGTGCTGTGGAAAGCTGTGGCACTCTGGTAACATCTATGGATCCCTTATCAAATGTTTGTTGCCTACATTCAAAATGGAAGGAAATGCTAAATTTCATTTAGAGGTTAGGGAGAATAAAGATGAATTCTCCCCCACCCCAGGTTAATGGACCCTCTGAAATCTACCTATAGACCATAGTGAGGTTCATGGACCCGGGTAAAGAACCTTTAATCTGATTCACCCCTTCATAGGCAGCCCCCTGGCGTCTCATCATATCATCAGACTTAGAGTGGACATACACCTGGTTTTATCCCTGCTGTCCTTGAGCGTTCCTGAACTCAAGTTATCCACTCTAAGGATTACAGGCCTGGGCCACCACACCTAGCCTCCTCCCTTTTTTAAGTTAGAAAAAAGAAAGACAAAATATTTGTTTTTGTTTCCTGTGCCTCTCTCTGGGCATGCTCCTTGCATTTTGAAATGAATCTCCCCAGCTGAGACTCTTCCCCCAGTTCATGCCCCAACCCAGGTTGTGTGAGTGCTTGCTTAAGAGGAGTGATGTGCTGGGAGCGCCAGCAACTGCCCACGGCCCAGTGAACTTTTTAATGATCCATCTCCTTTTAACATGGACAGTTTTCAGATGATGACGCCCGGAGTCTCGCATCTTCAGGTCACGCCAGCCAAGGGCGAAGAGCTAGTGTGGTGAGCGTGGTTTGCATGCTGGCAGAACCCCCCGAGAGCAGCAGCTTTTCACACTCATTGGGTTTTGGTTTTTGTTTCTAATTGCCACAGTATGGTATTTCAGGATCACGTTGAATTTATTGCCAATTAACCAACATGGTGGGATGGCCAACAAGCCAAGGTTAGCTTGTGTCTGTAGCGTGGCTTCAGACACAGATTGTGGAGGAGGCTTTTGGCCTTCCCAGTTGTGATACTTAGACTTCACCAGCTTTGGTCCTGTAGCTTGGCCTCTGGTCCCTTTTTGGAGTTTGAAGCTGTAAACCAAGGTCTTTGAGCTTTTCATCACTTTTTGTCATGTCATGCATGTGCAGTATGCTGTTTATTAACGTCAAAGAACTGCCTTGCATCGTGGTCAAAAATACAATGTGCAGAAGGCAAGGAGGCCCTTGTGGCAAACTGGACACTCCTGGCATGATAGACATGAGTCACAGTTTACAAAACATTTTTTCTGTGACGTGCCTACTTCTTTTAAAAATGTTTTGTGTTTGTTTCTGTTGCCAAGCATGAAAAGTTACTAGTAAAAAAAAAAGGGGGGGGGATGTGCATCCTTCTGGCCTTTGTGCTGCTATAGAATTGAGCTTATAAAGAAAGCAGAAGGAAAACCCAGGTGGGGACTTTGGGGAATGCGTGCCTGACAGCAGCTTCAGCACCTGGCTCATAATTCAGTGCTGACATCCTCCATGGGCTTCTCAGTGGAGACAGAAATGAGACACAAAGATGCCAACTTGGCGGAGAACGTGTTTTAGGGAATGCAGATCTCCATTGTACAGGTCTTGTTTACCCATCCAGTCTCCCCGAGGGAGTCTTTTCCCATAGAAAGGAATGGGGTCTTTTTATTGGTTCACATCTTAATTTCTACAGGGTGACTTTCCTGGTCCCCTCAGCTGCTTGGCCCTTTCCCTCTGAGATCACCTCCCACTTTTTCCAGATCCGTGTTTTATGTGTATCTGTTTACCATTAGAATGTGAACTCCCTGAGGACAGGGGCTGGTTTTAACTTTTTTATATTGCCCAGGGCTTAGCATATTGCTTGTAAGCGTCTCTTGATGAAGTGGTTGGTACTAGAAGGCTAAGGTGGCCAAAGCTGGCAGACACTTTGGGGGTGAGTTGTTAGGGTGTGTGTGTCTCCGCTTGTTGGACTCAGTGGAACGTAATCAGCGGCAACTTTTGGGCTTTGATTGTGCTTCTTTTTTTACCTTCCCTGCAAGTGTTCTGTTCTGCCCCAGTCCTCCCTCCTGTCTTCACCAGTCAGGAACTGAGCTGATTTTTCTGGTATCGAAGGTGTCTGCTGCCGATTACTTTAGTCGTTCAGGTCGGAGGGGAAGTGTTGTCTCTGATGTGGACGATGTCGTCATCCCGGATTTGAGCAGCGTGAGTGCATCGCGTGGGCCGGGCATGTGGGTGTGGCAGGGCCTCCTACTCGCCTGCAGTGGACATTTCCAAACTAACTAAGTGAAGTTTGCCTCCTTAGAGGATTTGTTTTTCAAATCAGAAACACAGCTGTCTTGAAATAAGCTTAGCAGGTAGAGAGCCATAGTCTGCACATCTGGTGGGTTCTCATCCCCACCCTTCACTTGCTGGTTCTGGGAATGTGTGACTTGTAACCATCCTTGTGCCTGAATCTGACTTCACTAAGCCCACTTGCATTTTGTAGAACTTGTGTTTGTTTTACTAAAACAGTTTGTGTGAAATGCAAAGTCTGATTGCCAAGGCCTTTCTACTCTTTGACTTGCTTAGCCCCAGAATTTCATCCATGTTGAGCCCAGCAGAGCTTTCCCAGTTCGCAGGAATGCCAGATCAGTGAGGAAGAGTCTGAGTCAAAGAGGAATCCCAAGCAGAGCTAGGCCAGTGATCCTCATGGCCTTATCAGGTCCTAGAGAGCCCGCTGGCCTTGGAGTTCAAGTCCACCCTGGCTGTGTGGCCTCTGAGCAAGCCGCCTACCTTCTCCATGCCCCCAGGCAACAGTTGCATAGCATATACCTGCAAATCGTTTGGCAAAGTTTGTCTCATTTTTTATCTTGACCACCTCCATGGGAGACAGGTGCGGTTTTTAATCCCATTTTACAGATGAGGAAACCGAGGCAGACAGATTAAGTGACTTGCTCAGGATCCCACAGCTAGAAAGCGTCTGAGGCTAGATCTGAGCTCAGATCTTCTTGCCTCCAATTCCACTGCTCTATCCACTGCATCCCCTCCCCACATCAGAGGCAGAGATTTTTCTGTTAGCTGGCTTAATTCCTGTCGCTTCTTAGCTGACTGCCCACTCTCAGAGTAGTGCACAGTTCCTACACTGTTTTCCTGTGTTCCTGCAAGTTACTGCAATAGTTCAGGTATCTCTCTGGTGGGGACTGGAGTGCAGAATTAAGTTACTGATGTTGGGACCCAGTAAAGCACAGTGTAGCCACCCAGAATGTGGACGATGCAGCTCTCGAGGGTTGATTTCCTCCTGTGTGCTCCACCCGGTCAAGTCTTGGCATTGGCAGGACTCAGACTGTGGCCAGGGGCAGTCCAGTTTTCTGGTGCCTCAGGCTTCTAGTCAAGAGCCTGTTTGTCATGGTCCTCCCGGAGATGCGCAGCAAGATGACCTCCACAGGCATCCTAGCTCTGCTGTCCCGGAGGCTCCTGGTGCCGTGTCTCCTGCCCTTCTGTTACCTTGTATTGACTCTGTATACACTTGTATGTATATAGTTGTGTGCCCTCTACCCAAGTGTAAGCTCCTTGAGGTCAAGGGCGGTTTCCTTTTTGTCTTTGTGTTTTCAAAGACTGCCCAGGGACTGAGTGTGAGATAGGTGCTCAGTAAATGCTTACCTCCCTGGAGCCACAGAGCCTCCTCTGTGGTCCTGACCGTCCTGGGGCAGCTGGCAGAGAGCCCCGGCTGCCTGATGGGATCCAAGGATGAGAGCAGCTTCTGCTGGCTTAGCTTTTCTTGACAGAAAGGCCATAGGCATGGCAGCTCCGGGGCCCCTGGTGGGAACCACGTCACTGCAGCCCCAGTAACTGGACTGCGGCATGGCTGATGGGGGCGTTTCTGCTGCCTTTCCTCCCACTGCTGCCGCAGGCTCTGCTGAGTGTCCGGTGGCCAGAGCCAGCGTCAGGGAGAAGGCAGCAGAAACGCTCCGGTGACGTCCCGGCGAGGCCACCTCAGAGGTGGAAGGGCTCCGAGTCCCCAGGTCAGCCGATGCTCAGCTCACTGTCGCTGACGTAAGTGGGTTCAGGGGCTGCTCTGGGTGGTTTCTCTTTTGTGGGACTTAGGCTAGGGAAGGAGTTTGTGTTGATTGGGAAAAAATGTTTTAAACTTCTGAGTGCAGAGAACAAAAAGTTGAAAAGTGTTCCTTTGAAAGAGAGTTTAGTGAAAGGCAAGGGCTCCTTGTCATGGAAAACCATTTATCCAGTCCTAAAACCATGGGTGGTCCTGTGGCCAGCTCTGGACAGAGAGCTCCAGAGGCCAGGTTACCAAAGTGTCCGGAGGGAAGTGCAGCACCGCCATTGACCTCCAGAACGTAATGGGTGACACATGGACATTTGGAGAATCAAAGTGAAGCCAAATGAATGTTTTTAAGGCCTTTCTAATAATTAGAGACACCCATATTGCAGCAAAGTCGAAGGGCTTAGAGGCTGAGATGGCATTAGGATTGCTGAGGTCAGTTGGAAGTCATTCCCATGGAGACAAAATGAGTGTGGTAAATAGAGAAATGGACATATTTCATTATACAGATTGGAGGGATTTTCCTTGGAGCCAATATCTTGGTATGTAAAACATTTTAACCCATTTTTGTCTCTCTTTTTCCTCCTCCTTCAGTACTGAAGTGTTGAAAGCTCAGGTCTGGGGAGAATCCAGGTGATGGTTGTTTCTTCTGTGCATGGGGGGCTGGCCATCCCTCCTCTTCCTCCTGGGCTGGCCCATCAGTCCCCTGGTACCAGTTTGGCTGTGTTTGTTTGGTTAAGTCTCTCTGTGACCCCTGCACGAGGCTCTGGCTACTCAGGGCTTCTTCCTTCCCATTCGCCTTTGGTCGGTGGTGCCAGCATGCCTGCTCTTTACGGTGTCATCTAGTATTTGTTCAGGAAGAATGTTTTCCCACTTCAGATTAAAGTCAGATTTCTCAGAGTTGGCATCACTAACGCTAGTTTTCTGTCTTAGTACTGTATAGAGTTAACAAATCCATGTGGCCTTCGGACTGAGCTGTGGCTCGTCACTCTTGTTTTCTTTCACGACTTTGTTGGTTCTCAGGAAGCTCAGGATGCCAAGAATTCATTTTCTTCTTTCACTTAATTGGATTCACTTAAATGGAGTTTGATTCATTTATCTTGCAGGGTTTTGAAACTTCATCTTAGGTTTATGTGTTTGTTTTAGAAGAAAGTGGGGAGCACTGCAGATGAGATGTAACTTCATTTAAAATCAACATGATGTGAATCTTACCTGATTTTTACCTTCATTTTTCTTTTCCAGTTGGATGAAAAGTGTGACAAGCAGTATGCTGAAACTTATACCAGGGTGAGTGTATTAACTGACTTGAAGAAGTTCTTAAAATGAATCAAATGTGTTTCCCCCTGCCCTGACTCACCCATAATTCCTCACTGTTACCCCTCCTGTGGTACCTCTGCCTTCGTCGGTTCTCTGCCGAAGAGTTCCTTTCAAACCTGAATCATGAGAAGGTCTTTTTTAAAAGCAGTCCACAGTATGATCATGACAAATATTAGCCCACGACCACTCTTCCTACCCTGGTACAGACACCATGGTGGCTTCCTGGGGACCTTCTGTCCTCCTCCCACGCCCCTCCGTAGCCCCCCAAGCCATCCAGCAAGAACAGAGGTGTGACCGCTCATGTGCTCTTCCCTAGCCTTCTTCTCGAAATTCTGCCTCGGCAGCAACACCCCTGAGTGGGAGCGCCTCCCGTCGAGGGAGCGGAGACACGGGCAGCTTCGTGGACCCTGACGCTTCCTTAAGTGAATTACGGGTAAGGGCATGAGCAGAACCTGTGTGCTTTCTTTAAAGAGCTCTGGCCTTTCTGGCAGATAGTTTTAGGGCCTACTAAGAAATCAGTAGAGATGTTCTCATTCTGGAGCTACAGTCCCGCTCAGGCACTTCAGAGCAGTGAAAAGCGCCTCTCTCCTGCTGTTCTCCTGGGCCGGGGGGCGCTTACTGAGCCTTCTGACCCTCCAGCCTGGCCCGCCATTTCCCAGAGGCCCAGAGCAGCCTAGCAGATGTTACCATTGTTTCCTCCAAAATAAGGACCTTCAGTTACCGACAGTATCTGAGGGACAGGAACCCAGCTCAATGTGTTGAGTCCCTAAACCTGGATCCTGGGCCATCTGGGGAAGCCTAGGGATCCCTTCTCAAAATTGTAGTTTTAGATGAATAAAATAAAATACGTAGGATTTCAAAGGAACTGATTATATTGAAATACAGTTATCAAAATATATTTTTTTAAGTTCATAGATTCCGCCTTAAGCATCCCCGAACTAAGCTATCCTTCAGTCACATCACCCCGTGATTTCCATGGTCACTGGGCGCAAGAATAGGAGTGAAGGGGGTGACAGTCTTTGTCTCGTGACCCTCCTGGGATGGCGTCAGGGCAGCCGCCAGGAGGGAAGAGAAGCAGAAACCATCAGCCCACTGATGCTCAGGTTGGCCCCCGTGGTCATCCTGGATGAGCTTCTGCCTCCACGAAGGACCAGCCATCCTCAGCTTTGGCCCGACAAGTCAGGACTCCAGCACTACCTCCCTCGCCCTCAGTGACCAGGCATCACGGAGAAGTCTGCTGGCTTGGCTCTGCGTGCTCATTGTTTTAGAATGGACCTCAATCAGTGTTAAAATGGCAGTTTGAGCCGCTCTTGGCCTGCTGCTTCTACAAGTCCTAAGGGGAGGAGTTGTGCTGCAGACAGGGAGTTTTTAAAGGAAGTAATCTTACTACAGTAGTTTGGCAGCCAGACGCAGGGGGAGTCAGTGTGTCTCGAGTGGTCATTCGGTTGGTTGTGGGCTCCTCGGGCCTCATGGGCCCCATGAGAACGAAGCTGTGGCATCTGCTCTGAAGCCACCGAGGCCGCAAGGGTGGGCTCGGCACCTGCCCGTGAGTGAGGCATGGCTTAGCTGTGCCACCTTGGGAGAGCACCTCTTAGGGCCCAGCAGGGGAGGGACGAGTCACTGGCTCTCAAGTTGTGGGGAAAAGTATGGAACAAGGGATGCAATTTCCAGCATTTTCAGCCCCAGCTTAGCGGTGAAGAGGGTCACGAGGACTGACTCAGAGGCCTTTGACCTGCTCGCCCTCCTGCTTGCCCTCCAGCCCTTTCTGGTCATCTTGAGTAAGAGTTGTGCCTGGCTTGCTTTCATTTGTCTGATATCAGTCTGAAATGGGCAAAGCTTAATTCTCATTTCCTTTGGAAATTGTTGAGCTGTAAATCATTTTTCTGCATGATTCTCTGCAACAGTTTCTTCTCATGTCCCGCAGGATATCTATGATCTTAAGGACCAGATACAAGATGTAGAAGGGAGATACATGCAGGGCCTTAAGGAGCTCAAGGTACCGGGGTTCCAGCCTTCACCCCGAGCATGCTTTCTGTACAAAGCCCCGGTGTCCACGGAGGCTTCTGCCCTCACTGCACAGAGCTTTACTAACAGTGTTTGTCTCAGAAGCATGTGCTTAACCCGCCCCCTCCCTCCCTTCCCTGAAGGGTCACCCTGGGGTCAGAGGTGACATCGTTGTCCTCAGGTCTTAGGCCGCTGACCCTGCTGGAGCCCTGGGCTGTCACTTACTTCACCTGTGCCTAGCAATGTGGTGCTTTCATTGAGACTCAGTCTTTGAAGAAAGAACTATGATAGTAACGGGCAGGGGGCTCCCTCTGCGTTGATGGAGTCAGGACAGGGTGGGAACAGCACTCTTACAGGGTAAATACAAAAACAGACTTCATATAATCCTAGCTGCTATTAGTAGTGTTCATATTCTAGTAGCGCTAGTACTAGACAAGACGGCAGAGAGAACTCCGAACCCCGCAGATAGGGAAACTGAGGCTCAGAGGGGGTAAATGATTTGTCCGAGGTCAGACATCTTTTAAGCACCTGCCGTGTGCCAGGCACTATGCTAAGCTCTGGGGATGAGAAGAAAGACAAAAGCCTGTCCCTGCCCTCCAGGAGCGCCCAGTCTAACGGGGGAGGCACCATCCAAACAGCTCTGTACAAACCAGCTCTGTGCAGGGTCAATTCACCAGCCATAAGGGGAATGGGAAACACTTCCTCTAGAAGGTGGGATTTTATCTGGGACTTGAAGGAGGGAGAACGTCCCAGACAGGAGACCAGCAGTGAGAATGCCCCAGATGAGGAAATTCAGTGGATTGTGCCTGTGGGACCCCCAGGCTTGGGGTGTCATGTGAATGAAGGTCCAGCAAAGGTGGCTGAGAAAGAACAGTCAGAGAGGGCTGGGTCACAAAAACCCAGGGCAAAGAGAGTGTCGAGGAGGAGGAGAAGGAGACCAGTAGTGTCAGAGGCTGCAGAGAGGTCAAAAAGCAGAAAGTTAAGAAGGGAGTGAGAGGATGGAAGTGGACGCCCCTGTTGTAGGCTGTCTTTTCAGGACATTCTGCCCAAAAGGGCAGAGGGGTGTGGGCCGATATCTAGTGGGGTTGGATGGGTCAAGAGAGCATATTTTTGAGGATGGGCCTGTTTATACGGAGTAAGTGAGTGGGAATGTTAGAGGAGGCAGTCTGCTGGAGAGGACAGGGTGGCATGGGATCACTTGTGCCTGGAGAGAGAGTGGCCTTGGTCAGGAGAAGGGCCCACTCTTGGTGGGAGAGTGGAGTGAGGGAGAAGAGACTGGCAGAAGGCACTGGGGTGATGAGAGAGGAGGAGGAGGGGAAAAGAGGGACTTAACACAGGTGGCAAGGAGCAGGTCTTCTGACTAGAAATCTAGTGCTTTTTTCACTCTATGTATTGTCTAAGTTAGCCTTTCGTCCATTTATCAGGAATTGAAATTAAATATTTTAGCAAATGGGAAAGCTCATTTGGAAAATAATGTTCTGTAGGAGGCCATTAAAGTATTCATTCCTAGAAGATTTGGCAGTTAATAGAATTTCCAGGCTGGATGAATCGAAAGCCAGAATTAAGGTTGCTGGGAGAAATATCAACACTCTGAGATGTGCGGCTGATACCACAGTGATGGCAGAAAGTAAAGAGGAATTAATTAGGCTCTTGATGAGGGTGAAAGAGGAGAAGGCAGAAGCTGACCTGAAGCTTAATGTAGAAGTCTTGGCAATGGGTCCTGTCACTTACTAGCCAATAGAGGGAGAAGAAATGGAGGCAGTGTCAGATTTTCTATTCTTGGGCTCACAGGTCACTGCAGACAGCAGCTGCAGCTGTGGAAGTTAGAGGCACTTGCCCCTTGGAAGGAAAGCCAGGGCAAATCTCGACGGCAGAGCAAGAAGCAGAGCCGTCACCTCGCTGACAAAGGTGCATAGCCAAATTTAGGTCTTTTCCAGTAGCGGTGTGCGGCCGAGAGTTGGACTGGAAGGAAAACTGAGTGGCGCAGAGTTGGCGATTTCAAGTTGTGGTGCTGGAGAAGACTTTGAAGAGTCTCGTAAACAGCAAGGAGACTTGAAGAAATTCGTTCAGGCTGTTCACTGGAAGACCAAGTACCGAAGCTGGAGCTTAGATCCTTGGGCCATATAATGAGAAGACAAGCCTCATTGGAAAAGGCCCTGATGTTGGGGAAGATTGAAGACAGAGGATGAGATGGATAGAGAGGGTGTCATGGAAGCAACGGACATGAATTGGGTAGACTTTGAGAAATAGTGGAGGAGAAAAGGGCCTGATGTGCTGTGGTCCATGGTGTCACAGGGGATTGCAACTCATCCTTCATAGAATAAAAGTGCCATGGGACTCACCAGGCACTGTCCTTGGGAGGCAGTCTTTTTCTTGTTGTTTTTTCACTTAGCCCTTGTGAGCTGCATCGACATTGTTTCTTACCGGTCACGTTAGCCTAGAAAGGTGCAGGCATTCGTCACTGTTCTAAATGGGAGTGTTGGAGTTGGGCCTGTGGAGATGAGCTGTGTAACCAAGAGGGGGCCCAAGGCCGTGGCCCCTGTCTTAGTGAAGCTTGAAGGAGCTGAGCTATCCACAAATGCCCAGCATGGAAAAGGACACTGTTGTGGACACATGTCCACCAGGGGTGGATGGGAGGAGAAGACCTAGGCAGAAAGATCATGGCAAAGGAATGAATGAGGGCAGGGCAGAAGCCGCAGTCACACGGCACTGTGTCAGTTTGTGTTGGCAATGTTTCCTAGGCTGCGATAGGGGATCTGCTCTGTTAAACCCCTGTCTCCTGTACCATCATGCTTAGAATATCAGCTATTAGAAGAACAACCCAGAGAGGCCCAACATGTGACATACTTGTGTTCTTTGGTCATAGTATTCACAGTAGAGGAGGGGAGGATGGGTAGTCAGGCTAAGATCTAGCAAGCTAAAGCCCACGTTCAGAGAGATGTTGTTGCACTTTTGAGTTTTAAAGTTCCTGTCAAAGTGCTGCCCCCCACAACATAATTTCATAACGGAGGAGTTTCTTTTTTTAAATCTTCTCATTGTCTCATTATTTCTATTATGATGCTTGGCCGCATAAAGTTTAAAGAGGATTCCTGGGACCCAACATTGGCCCTGAATTTATTTATAGACAAAGTTTTCTTCTCAGTCAAATGATAAATCCATTTGAGCACCCCTGTCTAAAAAGGTCATAAAGATTATCTTATAAATTCCTTGGTTGTTTTGATTTGGGTGCGTGTTGGCCATAGACCAGTGTAGCTGGCAGACCTAGCAGAGCTCTGGTTGGCATATGAGCACATGACTGCCATTTCCGTAACAGTGGTGGCCTTCCCCGAGTGCCTTTGCTTTGAGCATCTTAATATTTTCTCTTACTGTTTATAAAAAGCATTTCTTGTTTGCTGAATTTAGTGTCCGAAGAGCTCCTATTCTGAGCTGCACCTCTGCATATCTGGAGACAGTGTTGCTTGTCTGTCTGTCCTCATGTATTATCGTGATGTCCTCACTCAGCCATTCTCTTGCCTGTGAAACGTTGGAGTTTACCTCAACTCCGTGATGCTGGAGGCTTCTTCTAGTTTTGAAGTGCTGTGACCCCCTGCAGGGGAGGAGGAGGAGGAGGAGGAGGAGGAGAATGTGTAAGCATCCTTCTTAAGTATAGTAGCAGAAAAAGAGAAATGACTGATTGGCAGTTAGGTTTTCCCTGTAAGAGGAAGACGTGCACTCAGGATTTGGTAAGCATTTAATGTTTGCCAAACTTAGCAGCAAAGAATTGTGTTATAACAGATGAGAGCTGTTAAGCCTCCTTTAAATCTGGATTTAGTCAGAAATGACAGAAGTAGTTAACTTGCCCCCTTCTCTGCTCCATCCCCACATCATGGGACGTTAGTCTCAAGGCCCTGCTTTACCCCTCTATGCCCGAAGGTTGGGCTGAGTCAGGGTCAGCGGGAGGGGAGCCATCCATCCTCCCCTCCTGCCTTGGGTAATGCCAGAATCCTGGGACTCTGGCTTTCTTTCTGTCTCCTCTGCTACAGTGGTGCAGAGTTTCTGGCCTTGTCCTGCAGGGCTCTGTAGATGTGGAACAGTCCCCTCTTACCTGTACCCCAGGTTTGTCATGCCCCCACTGAACATTTGGGGCAGCTTCATGCCTGTGGAGATTTGGTTTCTGTGCCTTCTTAACCATTTCCCATCATTTCCTAAAGTCTGCTCAGATGTGTCTGTGGCCTTGTCAGATCAGGCTCCCCTTCACCAGTTCAGGTCACAGCCTTTGATACCCACCCATCCCACAAGCCTCTCCTCCATGTCCTCCCGAGGGTTTGCTCCACCAGAGAAGCCCACAGCTCTCCATCCCCCTCATCATCCTTACCTGTTGCCACATGATCAGACCTTCTCTTCCTGTCATACTGTTACTCAGTGACATCCTTTGTTTCTCTTCTTCTCCAGAGTTCTTTGTGGTTTGGGTATAGGCTACAGCCTGCCTTTCCCCACCATGTACCTCTCTGTTGCCATCAGGTCAGGTCAGACACTGTGCCCAGCCCTGGGCACATCAAGTCAAAACCAGCTCCATTCTCATGGGAGAGATGACGTCCAACCCAGCTGTACACGTCCTAGCAGTGTCGATGGGGGGCAGTGTTAGCGGGAAGGCAGTAGCATGGAAGGGGACTCGGAGAGGCTTCTTGTGGAAGGCAGAATCCTAGTGAGGCTTGAAACCAGGAGACAGATGGAAGAAGGGAGAGCATTTCAGACATCAGGGGCAGCCAGTGAGAGGACAGGGAATTGGGAGGAAGTGTCCTGTGTCCCTGGGTTGTAGAGTACATTCAAGGCCTGGAGACCAGGAAGAGGCCAGTTTCTGAATGGCTTTCAAGCCCACCAGGATTTTCATGGACTTTGAAGACGACCGAGAATGCATAAACAGCTATTAGCCCATAGGCTCACTCCCCCATTTATATAAAGTCATCATCGGCCTTGTCTGTACCCACACCGAAGGGATAGAACAGCAGATGTAACCCTGTTCAGTGGGCTAATAAACACCAGGCAGGACATATTTGTGTGCTCACCAGAGGTCTTTGCCACTGTGATGGAGGGAATCCATAGGGAGAGGGAGGACTCCCTTTGAATGGCGATGTTCTCCAGAAGGTCTTACTTGTGGATGGCGTTGTTGATTGCCAACACTCAGGGGCTGGCTTGTCTGTCTACATAGGAAAGACCCATAGATGAAACCTACCTGCTGCCCAGATTTCTGCATAGGTCTGAATGGATACCTCATAAACGTGTGTCCTGAACAAGTGGGACATATGTGCAGTGATCTGGAAGTGGTGGAGTGCCTTTACTGACCCCTGAACTTCCCAGAACAGCAAAAGTCATCCCAGTCTGACACATGTGTCCTACTTAATAGTATTTTATTTTTTCCAATTACACGTAAAGATAGTTTTCAACATTCTCTTTTGTATGATTTTGAGTTCAAATTTTTTCTCTCTCCTTCACCTCCCCAAGATGGCAAGCGGTCTGATATAGGTTCTACACGTACTACAATCATTTTAAACACATTTGCACGTTAGTCATGTTGACACGTGTGTCCAGAGATCACATGGCTCTCCCTTTGACTAACGCTAGACTCTATCATCATCATGGCCTTCCTAGTTGTGACTGCTCCTTTCCTCTCATTCTCTTCTTCCTCTCCTTCCTGACTATGACTCTTACCCCCAGGTTTGTCATTGTCTTTCTCTCTTTACCAGCTCCACCTTACTGATCTCCAGGTGCGATAGCTTTATTAATTCTAAGTTGATGGTTCCCGTATTAATGTCTCCAGGCATTAGCTTTTTCTAGCTTTCCAGTCCGATGCTCTCGGCTGCTTGCTGGACATTTAATAAGAACTACCACAGAAACACTGAAGCACTCTAAAGTTTGCCGAGGGTCAAACGTACACTCTCATTTGAGCCTGACAACAACCCCACGAGAGGAGGTGGTGTGAATGATCTTTCCATTGCCACACAGCTAGTCAGTATCAGAGGCAGGGTTCAAGCACATGTCTGCTGGACTCGTAAGTGCAGTGCTCCATCCACTCTGCCAGGCTCTGGGGGGTATGCGTGTGTGAGAGAGTGTGAGAGAGAGAGAGAGAGAGAGAGAGAGAGAGAGTGTGTGTGTGTATGTGTGTGTGTGTGCGCGCGCGCACGTGCTACTGTGGTGACGTTTCTCTAGTTGTGCTTGACCCAGCAACATCTGGAAATGAGCAGAATGAATGTTAAAAGCAAACTCCTCATTACTTTCCCAAACCCAAACTGGTTCTCCCTCCTGACTTGAGTTTCCTGTGACGGTGCTGCCCTTTTCCTCATACTGCCCAGACTCACAGTTCCATCCCTTCATTCCCCTCCCTCCATTCAGTTCTTCCTCCAGATCTTTCTGTTTTTCCTTCAGCCTCTGTCATCTTTGCCTCTTCCTTGCTAGTTCTTCTGACACCAGCCTGGTCTCAGCCCTTGTGACGTCAGCCTTGCCTGCCTGCCTCTCATGTCTCTGCCAGCATGTGGACAAAGCGCTGTACACGGTGCGCCATGTACCGCTGTACGCGGATACACTGGTAGACCTGACTGTTGAGTCACATGTGGTCCTTGGCAAGACCTTCTTGGTGGCGGCTTCTGTACCCCAGGGACTTAGTTAGCAGAGAGGAGAGGATGGTTGGAAGCCTGAGTTTACCTTCAAAGTCAAGTCCCCAGAGGAGTACTGAGCAAGCAAAGGGAGCAGGAAGCACATGGATGGAAGAATTAGAAGGACGCACTTGTGAGGCGCATAAGGGAACACCAGGTGGGGATGGCTCAGAGCTGAGCTGCAGATGCATTAATTAAAAGTTGCCAGTAACTGGGCCATTCTGTAAATTTGAAACAATCAGAACTGGCCAGAAATGTCTGTATCCCTATGACATCATAAGTAAGAAAGAAAGAAAAATCAGTTCTCCAGCTGTCATTTTATTTTTGAAATGTATTTCATTTTTTCTCAATTATATGTTAAAACAATTTTTAAACATTTTTTGAAAAAAGTTTTGAGTTTCCTCCCTCCTTCTCTTTCTTCTCCTCTTGCTGAGATGGTAAGCAATCCACTCTAGTTTCCACATATGCAATCATGTAAAACACTTTCTTATAAGTCAAGAGGACTGGGAAAAGAAAGAAAGAGAAAAATAGCATGCTTCAGTCTGTATTCTTTCTCTAGAGGGGGATCGGATGCTTCACCATTTGTCCTTTGGGATTGTCTTGGGTCATTAGTCATTCAGAGTCCTTCGTTGTATAGTATTGCTGTTACTCTGCACAACATTCTCCTGGTTTTATTCATTTCCCTTTGCATCAGTTCATTTAAGTCTTTCCAGATTTTTCTGAAATAATCCTGCTTGTCATTTCTCATAGCACAGTAATATTCCATCACCAAGTGGAAAAGGCGAATTGTAACTCTCTAATCATATACCACACAGTCATATACCACAGCTTGCTCAGCCATTCCCCAGTTGATGGACATCCTCTTGATTTTCAGTTCTTGGCCACCACAAAAGGAGCTGCTGTGAATATTTTTATACAAATAGATCCTTTCCCCTTTTCTTTGATCTCTTTGGGATATAGACCTAGCCGTTATATTCCAGCTACCATTTTAAAGAGAGATTGGAACAGACTTCTTTACATCATTATGAAATAGCCTTCTCTTTATTATTAGAGTTATTATGACGCATTAGTTTATATCACAGCACTCCACTCTCTCCTCTGTATGGCAGGAGCACAGTGGCCCCGTAGGGTGTGAGATCATGGACCTAGAAGGGTACCAAGAGGGCAGGAAACCTCCTCCCTCCCTCATCTTATAGGTTTTGGTGAGACTGTGTTATGATGAGCTGTTGTTTCTTATACTTCTGATAAACAGTATCCCTTTGGATGTGTCAAGGAATGGACACCACTATGGTTGTACTTGCCATGGACTCACATTTTTAGGTATTGATTTTTAATGTGCTTGCTAACCCAGCCTTCTCATATGTTTTATTCCCAGCTCTAATAGCTGGTCCCTGAGCATGATCTGAAGGCTTTTTACCCTTAAAGTTGGCTATGGCAGATTTTGATTTTTCTGCTGTTGATGGCAGCATAATTCTCAGCTATATTATCAGTTATCTTTATTTAGTCCTTAGCTTTAGTAGGAAAAATGCTCCCAAGTAAAAATTTTACCTAAAACAGGATAATATAACTTTTGATACAGAGAGATTTAAATGTAAAGTTTTCATTATTTTAAAGGAAGCCATATTTTTACTCGTATTGCTTATTTATTTAGAAACTTCTAACTGACAATTAGAAATAGTTATTAGCAGATAAGTTCATACAATTTAGAGAGACTAACATAACAGAAAATTCTTTTGTTTCCTTTTTAAATTATTTATTTGTTTGTTGTTCGTTTTCGGCATTTACTTTTATAAGATTTTGAGTTCTAAATTTTCCCCCCTTCCTCCTCCTCCCCAAGATGGCATGCAGTCTGATATAGGCTATGCATGTACAATCATATTAAACATATTTCCACATTAGTCATGTTGTGAAAGAAGAATCAGAACAAAAGGGATAAACCATGAGAAAGAAGAAAAGGAAAAAGAGAGAGAGAATAGTATCCTTCGGTCTGCATTCAGACTCCGTAGTTCCTTCTCTGGATGTGGATAGCATTTTCCATCATTGAGTCTTTTGGAATTGTCTTAGATCCTTGCATTGCTGAGAAGAGCTAAGTCTATCAAAGTTGGTCATGTCTCAGTGTTGCTGTTACTATGTACAACGTTCTCCTGGTTCTGCTCACTTCACTCAGCATCAATTCCTATAAATCTTTCCAGGTTTTTCTGAAGTCCTCCTGCTCATTGTTTCTCATGGGACAATTCCATCACATTCATATACCACAGCTTGTTCAGCCATTCCCCAATTGATGGGCATCCCCTCAGTTTCCAATTCTTGGCCACCACAAAAAGAGCTGCTCTAAATATTTTTGTACATGTGGGTCCTTTTCCCTTTTTTATGCTGTCTTTGGGATGCAGCCCTAGAAGTGCTGTTGCTGGGTCAAAGGGTATGCATGTTTTTGTAGCCCTTTGGGCATAGTTCCAAATTGTTCTCCACAATGGTTGAATCATTTCACAACTCCACCAACAATGTATTAGTGTTCCAATTTTCCCACATCCTCTCCAACATTTATCATCTTCCTGTTTTGTCATGTTGGCCAGTCTGATAGGTGTGATGTGGTACCTCAGAGTTGTTTTAATTTGCACTTTTCTAATCAATAGTGATTTAGAGCATTTTTTCATGACTATAGACGGCTTTAATTTCCTCATCCAAAAACCGCCCGTACTAGAAAATTCTTTTTTAAAATTAATTTATTTTGATTTATCAATAATCACTTCCATAAGCTTTTGAGTTTTAAATTTTTCTCCCCCTTCCTTCCCACCTCCCTCCCCAAGACGGTGCGCAATCCATACCAGAAAATTCTTCAGAAAATATTAAGGATACAGGTCAAATTCCAAGAGAGTTAGGAATTTGCCATGATGAGAGAGTCCTGCCTGCTTGTTACCGAAACTTCTGAAGTTAATAAACTCTACTGGCAGTGTGAGTGCACTTCATTCTACAAATCGTGCATACTGATGTCCACGTTGCTTCTTAGGAGATCAGAATCTGCCCTGTAGTTAGAGGAGGATGGCCTCATCTTTGGCCATCATAGGTCCCCCCTAGACAGTTACCAGCTTGTTGAGGGCTACTTTTCTATCTGTAAAACCTCGGGAATGACTTCAGGTTTCATGGAAGTGTGTGTGTGTGTGTGTGTGTGTGTGTGTGTGTGTGTGTGCATGTTACTAAATGAGTGAGCCCCTAAAATGTCAGTCTTCTGTAAGAACGTTGGTGTTGTATGAATCTTTGTGGTGTTTCCTGTCACCCCAGTCCGGAGTCCGTGGCGGCCACGGGAGCCTGCCCTGCCCGGCCCTGAGGTCCATCCTTTTGCCTTCCCCTTAGGACTCTCTGGCGGCTGTGGAGGAGAAATACAAGAAAGCCATGGTTTCTAATGCCCAGCTTGACAACGAGAAGAACAATTTGATCTACCAGGTGGATACGCTGAAGGATGTGCTGGAGGGACAGGAAGAGCAGATGGCAGAGTTCTACCGTGAGAATGAGGAGAAATCCAAGGTAAGACCCTGCTCTGCAGCCTCCCGAGCTTTGCCTTGCTCCCTTTTTAGTCCAAGGTCACTGATCTGATCATTGGAAGCCTCGGAGGCGTCATTTGGTCATTGGTCCTGGTTTTTCAGTGACTGGGAGTGTTCCACAGCGTTCTAAGTGTCCTGGCCTGATGAATTCAGCTTTTTCTACAAACTCTGTTGGTAGTTTGATAACAGAGCCAAGCGGCATCCCACTTGGTTAGAGGAGACTGTTATCTGAGATGAATGAGGGGCTGGAGGTTGGCAAGAGGTTTGGATTTCTGAGTTTGTAACCTATGAATAGAATGATTAAAAAGTACAGAAGAGAAGTAATCCACCATGTGTGGACCTAACATTGCTAGAAGTCCACTGCCTGCTTTCATTTAAGTGTTAAAGAAGCAGGGTGTCTGTCCCCTGAGCGTGTTAAAGTCCTCTCGAAAAGAATTGAAGGGGCCTGTCATGAGACACATGGAAGAGTTTGTCCCCCATCCCCTCTTTGTGGCCAGTGTGGCTCCCTCAGTCCCCCATGTTTATAGTACTAGCATTCACAGGTCCTGCATGCTTTGAGCACAATGCCCCAGGAGCATGGCAGGGTAAGTGGTGTGGTCCTTATTTTACAGAGCCTTAAGGGGAGGGAGAGGACTTGCCCAGATTTCCTGGCCTGGGAATGACAGTCTCTCTGACCCCAGGCTGTGGCTCCTCCTGCCGGGCTGGACAGTGCTGCTGCCCAGTAGCACAGTTAAGGATGGTGAATTGTCCTGGGCCGTTAGAAGAGGGAAAAGTTGGTGTTTTGGAAAAAACACACGAGAAAGTCGTGTAGTATCCTGTTGGGAGGCCTGTTCTCGAATATGAATCCTGTACTGCCCAGTGACATTGGAGCTTTACAGATGAGCTGTGCTCCTGGCCCCCTTGCCTCGGTAGAATTGTTCACTGCCTCATTTTGACTTTTAAAGTGAAAAGAATACTTGCACATTGTCCTGTTAGCACATGTTTTAAGTCCTATACCAAAGTGAGTATCTGCTTTTTATTTAACCCCATTTTCCAAAGCTGATTTGGAAGTCCTGACTTTGCCTCGAGACCGTTGCCATCCCCCAAGAAGCAGTGACCTGGGCAGGGGACATTTTCTCTGCATTCATAGCCCTTTCAAACACCGTCATTTGGAGCTTTCTTGTCCCCGGGGGGTGGTCTTGCCCGATTTGTCAGCACATTCACATCCAGGGCCTTGGGCGTGCGTGCACACACAGCAGCAGCAGCAAGTGTGAGGGGAAGGAACTCAGTGCGCCGCTCCCCCTCCAAGCTGTCTTTTTGCCCAGGTTGATTTCAGTGGGGCGTCCTTATTCCTCGGCCTGCTTTGAGGGTTAAAGTTTCATAACCATTGTGAGGGCTGAGAGTGGGGGTAGCCCAGGTCCGTGGTCTTCTCTGGTGGGTGAGTGGGATGGTGTCTGTGTGCCCACAGGAGCTGGAACGGCAGAAACACCTGTGCGCCGTGCTGCAGCACAAGATGGAGATGCTGAAGGAGGGGCTGCGGCAGCGGGACGAGCTTATTGAGGTAGGGGCGGGGATGGGGGGTGGGGTGGGGCTGGACTCCCGGCATGGCCCAGAAGGGACCAGAGAAGGTCCTCGTCCATTCTCAGTTAGCGTTGTTTTGGCCTTCCTCTTGCTTTTGCCTCCTTTCCTAAAGAGAGCAGTGGCTTTGTCAGCTTTGTGTGCTGCTCAGGCTGCTGGTCAGGCTGTTCTTTCTGGGTCATTCGTGGGGTTTGCTGCTGAAATGCCTGCTTCCTTGTAGCCCCGCGGGGGCCAGTCTGGGGAAGCCTCAAGGAGGCCCCTCTGGTTCACTTAGACAGAAGCCCCTCTCAGAGACTTTCCTGTGGAGCTGTGGCAGGCTGATGACACCCACTCTGCTCACCCCGATATTTCTGTCATGTGCAGAGTGCCTTAGAAGCCCGTGGCTTGGAAGGGGGGGTGAGCTACAAGTTGCATACTTGTTTTGGTTTTTTCTTTATAGAATTGTCATCTTCTTCATGCCTGTGCACCATATCACGACAGTGTAACGTAGCTGAATCTTCCTCTTCTGCTCTGTTCTTGGTGGTCAGGCGTAGGTACAGGCAGGTAGGGAGCACAGGTGACCTAGAGAGGTGTTCGGAGAAGGCCGACGAGTGAGCAAAGGGGAGCCGGAGTTGCCCAGAAATTACCCTGAGGAACGAGGACTCTGCTGTGGAGGGGGGAGAGTAGACGGGGCCACATTCTAATTTTTACATTGTCTTGCTGGACGTTGAACTCAGGTTCTTAATGAACACTGATTGTAATGGCTCTTGCTGGTTCACTGATTGTGTTACTCCCAGGACGACAGCGTGCCATGTTCTCCAGGAAGGTGCGAAAGTGTCTGGTTAGTGGGGAAGTGTATACAAGGGTCCGTTTTACTGGTTAGATGAGTGCAGACCATGGAAGTCTGTAACAAGGCCTTGTGCTTCTGTCTTTGATTGTCGATTGTCTCTCCTCGAGAAGGGCCCATCCTTCTTGAAGTCGACAGCCGAGAGCCCTTTGTGACATGCAGGCCAGCCTCAGGAGACTATACCTGGAGAGGGGGCAGGAGTGTGAGGGGCTCTGCCGTCCCCCTGCCACAGGGGCATGGTTCCAGCAGTTCTCTGGGCTCCTTTGTTTTGAAGACGTCATGGGATCACAGCCCTGGCCCGTCTGTGCTCTTGGGTCTCTGGCCCCTTTTTCGAGACATGCAGACTAATTAGTGTGTGACAATGGATGGAGCTTGGTGCTGGGAGCTTGCTGGGGTTGAACCTTGGTCCTTTCGGTCGCTGGGTGATCTTGGGCGAATCCCCTTGGCGTAGGCGCCCGCCCACCTTCTCCTCTGCAAGGCAGCCCCCTCCCGCTCTGTGCATCTTTCCCTCCATCACCTGGCGGTTCCTTTCCTTCCCTGGTTTTCTCATCCCCTCGCCTCCTGTTTTCTTTCTGCTTCTTGGTTATTTCTTTTCCCTGCAGGAGAAGCGATGCATGCAGCAGAGAGTAGACACCATAACCAAAGAGTTGTTTGACCTCCAGGAGACACTTATTTGGAAAGATAAAAAAATTGGGGTATGAGAAGAAATGGGGCTTTGGGGAAAGTGTGCTGATTTGGAACAGACCGATATGGGTTAGTTTTTCCATTCCCCCAACCCCCAGTGTGCACTGTGAACGTATTTGCATATTTGGTCAGCATCAAATGGGAACCAGTGGGGAAATTAGCAGACTTCTCCCTCTCCCTGCCTCCACAAGGAGCCCCTCTCCATTCAGAAGAACCACTTAGCAGATGACACTTCAGGCAGGCCCGATATGGATTAGTTTTTCCATTCCCCCCACCCCCAATGTGCACTGTGAACGTATTTGCATATTTGGTCAGCATGGAATGGGAATCAATGGGGAAATCAGCAGACTTCTCCCTCTCCCTGCCCCCACAAGGAGCCCACTTCAGGCAGGCCCAGAGGGGAGTCCAGCGCTCTTGTGGCCAAAGGATCTGCAAAGACACAAGGCAGAAGAATGGGGAGTGTTTAACACCCCATAAATCCTTTGGCTTCCCACTACTGAAGGCAGATCTGAAGCCTCAGTGTTACTGCGAGAGGGCCTGAGAGGTTTGGCTTTTGCCTTTGACACTTCTCAGCATTTAGGTAGGTTTTCTCCTGCCCAGTTTTGTCAGGGGCCGCGTCAGAACTGAAGGGATCTTGGCGCCCAATCCATTCAGTTGGTGGAAAACGAAAACTTTCTCCGGCAGGTTTTGGTGCTTCCATGGGCCGTGGCTGCTGGTGCCTTAACATGGCACCTGTCCAGAAGGGAGCCCTCCGTTAGAGAGCTTTACTGTGACGGCAGAATCAGGACCCACGGCCCCTGCATTCCTGAGCTCTAGAATGGTCTGGGCAAGCGGCTGTCTTCTCTGACAATCAAGATTAACTAATGGATTTTCTTAACCCAAGGGAATTTTTGTGCTGAAGGGTGTGGGGGGTTCCTACTCACATGAAAGAAGCAATAAATCCACTTTACAAGACACACGCCTGAAGCTTTAGTTTCAGTCTTTGAATTTAGTTGCTTAGTGAGTATATTATGCCCATTTTCTGTCCATGGGCCAGACTTCAGTGTCAGTCCAGCTCTCCCTTCAGATTGCCCCTCTGCCTCCTTCAGCTGGCTCTGTGCTGCAGAAACCACCTGAAGGCTGCCCACTCTACCTGCCCAATGAGAGCTTTGGTCTTGCTATTTGAGAAAAAGTTTTTGCCTCCATGTGGGAAGACTTCCCCAGGGCTTGACTGTCCTTTTAGAAAACCTTGTGCACGTTGACTTCTGCTAGCTTTATAATAATAGAGTTTGATGTTGGGAAAAGGAGATTAGACCCCAAGAAGTATGTGATTTTATTTTGAAAACACTCAGATTAAAAAACAATTGTTTTCTTACAAATACAAGGTCAGTGATGGTGATGGTCAGTGTAATGTGTGTGTCAGGGCAGTTTCAATTCACTTGATTCCGTCATGAAGTATTTTAAGAGGTTTCAGACTTCCTGGTAGAATGCTTGGGTATCACAGATGTCTTTTTATGCTCCCATCTACAATTATGGGAAGAGAAAAGTGAAAGTCCATTCAGAAAAAAAACAAACCAAACGCCCACCACCCCAGTGGGACAGAGCTTTCCTGCTGTTCCTGGTTCCATATCGGTCTGGTCCTAATTAATCCTGCATGAAGACAGCCTTTGTTTAGGAGTTGTTTCAGTAAAGCATGTTGTTGGCTTAGCCACCGTTGTCCTGTTCACAGAATTGCATGTTCTGCATGATGCTGAGCACATAGGTATTATCAGCTGAGGCCAGGATTGTGGGTGACTTGCAGCAGATGCGGAAGCCTACTTCGTGCATTTCATCGTGAAAACTGTTGAGATGGTGCCCTCTTCAAGTCACCAACTAACAAAAGTTTGCTTAGTGCCTCTCGTATGCAAGGTACTGGCAAGACTTGAGTGGGAAGAGTGTGGGCCTTGCTTTCTCCTCATCCCACGATTCACTAGGCTCACACTTGGAGGCTGTTGGTGTTTAAGAATGTCAGTGTTTGTGTAATTCTGAACGCTAATGACTGCTTTGGTGAACGCTTGGATATGTGAGAAAGCCAGAGGGAAGGCTTCCTGTGTCCTTGTCCATCGTCTCTCCCATCATCTCTCCCGGTGCTCTGCTGATGCTAAGTGGCCATGGAGCTGTTAGCTGAGGAACTAGCCCATTTCTTCTGCCAGTGTGCTGGTGGTGAAATGTGGTCTGGTAGCCTCGCTCTTGGCCATCCAACCTTCACTCAATGACAGAGATGCAGGAGACTTCACATAGGTGAGAGGTGCAACCCAGCTGGCTTTTTGGTGCTGATACCCTTAGCCAGAAATGTCCTTGGTAAGAGTAAGTCCCGGCCAGGAATGCTAGACTCAGATGCATTTGAAAGAGTTCAGGTTGTTTTGATTATACACGGGGGTGAATTTTAAGATTTAAGGTTTACATCAGCCTTAAGGAAAGCTGGGAGGTCGAGGGTGGCGACTTCTTGGTGGGTGGCGATAAGAACACAGGACTTGAGGTAAGAAGGTGGGCCCCAGGTATTTCTCTGGGCCTGTCTCCTTATCTGTGATGCCGGGCTCCAGGACCTGCCCTGCCTTCCTCAGGAGGCTCTGGTGAGGACCCCTCCAGGGCGCCCCACCTCAGGCACCAAAGAAAAGGGCGGCCGGGGCGGCCACGGTTCTGCGGTAAGCTTGGTCATGCTGTGGGGCCTGTCTCAGCTTGGCATTGCCGAGGGAGGCATCATACGCTTTGAAGCAGTGGTCTTGTAATTTTTTCATATGAATTTTGTAGTTCCATTAGAAAAATCAATGCTGATTTGCTTATTTTATTGGACAAAGTTAATGAAATTCCACAAACACCTCTACGTGGTTGCCATGTCCTCAACCCTGGGGATCCAGCTGAGAAACAGAAGAGCCCTGCCCTTGAGGAATTGAAGTCCAGTAGGGGAGGAGAGCATGTGCCCAGGTCACTATAATACAGGTTAAAATATTTGAGCCACTAGTGAGAGGCCCTGCTGGAGGAGGGGTCACTTGTGGGAGTATTTCCAGTTCAACCAGGTGCGTGTGTCTCTGGGGGACATTTTTGATCTCCTGTCTTAGGAGGATAACAGCTGTCACCAGAAACAACAGCTTTTTAGGTTGCTTTAATCGAACTGATGTTTGGTGGTCTTTTTTGATTAAATCAGGCAAATGTGCATTTGATTTTTTAAACAGTAATGACAGTAGGTAACATATACACCTGCTGTGCACCGGGCTCTGTGCTAAACACTGTACAGATGTTCCTCACGACAACCCCGGGAGGTGGGTGCTCTTGTCGTCCCCATGTTATAGATGAGGACACTGAGACAGAGCTGAAGGGTCTTGCCCAGGCTGGAAAGTGTCTGAGGCTGGATTTGAACTCAAGGCTTCCTGCCTCCAAGCCTGTGCTCTCTCTGTTTTACCACTTAGCTGCCTCAATTTAATCTGATTTGCAACCCCCCCCCAAAAAAAATAATTTTAGACTCTTAGTTAAGTCAACCAGAAAAACTTAATGGGTTATGTGTCTAATTCCATCTTCCCCTTCCTCTTCCTGTTTATCCATAGTCTGGAAGAGAAAGGTGAGCGTCCGTGCTCGGTGCTTACGTGTGTGTGAGCATGTTCTCAGCAGCGAGCTCGTGCATGAGCACCGTCCTTCTAAGAGTGGTGATCCTTCTGGCTTTCTGCCCCCGCTTGGCTGGGCTTTGGGAGGTCTGCACCTCTGCTGTCTGTCACACTCTCTCTTCTTTCCCTGCGGCTCTGCCCCCCCCCAGGCCCTAGAGAGGCAGAAAGAGTCCTTTGACTGCATTAGGAATGAGCGAGATGTGCTCAGAGAGCAGTTGGCCGAGCTGAAGGAAACCCTGGAGACAGGAGAGGTAGGTGAGCAGTCATCCTGCCAACACTCCCTGATGGGGGCTGGGTGCTCGCGAGCCACCTCCATGTCTGATGGCCCTCGCACGTGTCCGGCCTGGGGCCTCCGTTGGGCAGCCGCGTCACCGAATGTTGGATTTCCTTGTGTGTTCTCATTTGTGATGGTTTTTTTGTCTTTCAGAAGCATGGTTTAGTTATAATCCCTGATGGCACTCCAAATGGGGATGTCAGTCATGAGCCTGTGGTGGGCGCCATCACCGTGGTGTCTCAGGAAGCAGCTCAGGTCTTGGAATCCGCAGGGGAAGGGCCGCTAGGTAAGAGTGAGCCCAAGGGCTGCTGGGAGTTGGGTCTCTGTTGCCTGCTCATGGGGGTATGGGGTCTGTGGCTCTTCTGGACCATGGCCTGGAATGGAATCAGAAAGATGCTTGACCATTCACGATGGCTCTCTCTCTGAGGAGATGGTCAAGGGCCTGTATCTGCATGAGCCATCAGGAAGCTGAACACAAGTGGGTTAGGTGTCCACACAGTATTTAGAAAAGAGTGAGCAAGGGGCATGCTGTCTGCAGGGGCAGCAGGAGCCTTGCCCATGCATTTGAGACTTCCTCCTCGACAGAGTATTTCACTTCTCTGCACCTGTTGCAGATGTTTTAATTCTTTATTTATCTCTTGATCCCAGATAAGCTTTTCTAAGCATGAAGCAATCGTAATTGATAGGACTGAGGCCCTTCTGCCCAGAGTAGGATATCTAAAAGGGAATATTGACACAGACTCACACAGAGTGCAAAGAGATTCCCTCAATCGTTTTTTCAAAGAAGTTCTGGGTTTCTTTTAGGAGTCTTCATAGGGAAACAAGAGATGTTTGGCAGGGACTGTGGGAGGTGGGAGGTGGGAGGTGCAGCCAGGTAAAATTAATTGAAGGGAGCCTTTGAAAACAGTCGCATTATTAGCCATAAATTAGGGCTGTGTTGGGGTAGGGAGGAGGGAAAAAAGGCCACTGTGTAGGTCTGATACTTTGGAGGAAAGATGCCCTGGGCACGGTACCCGCCGGCCAGGAGTCACCAGGCTGCTACCACCAAAGAGGAGTTCAGAGATCTGTGGCTGGCATGGGCAGCCCACGGCAGGGGCTGGTCAGGCGCCTGCGGACAGTTATTGCTAGCCCTCTGCCTCCCGTGTTATTCTTCCCAGTATTCTGGGGCACGAGCGAGTGTCTGGTCGGGGGCCAGGATGCCCTGCTACTTCCACGCTGGTCAGATGAGTGGGGCTGGACCCACCCTTCCCCCGCTTCTGTTCCCTGCTGCCCGCGGCAGCCGTGAGAGGCCCCAGTCTCTCGTGTGTCTGACTCTGAGATTGTAGAGCCTGTTTCCTTTGGAAATTGTCAGCACGGGGTTATTGGGTTAACCTCCTTCCTCCTGATGGGGCCATGCCAGTTTTAAATGGGCACCTTTATACTTCCTGTTGGCTTTAAAATGAAGCATCCCTGACCATGGGATCCTGCCGGGTCTTGGTGTGGAAATAGGAGCGGAGCTTTGATAAGTGCTTGGCATCTTTCATACAGACTTTTATTTCTTTTGGTGTTCCCACCATTTCTTTAAACGTGCTTAAGCAGGTGTGTTGTGATTAGCCATGAATTCTGAGCGGTATCATTTACTAAAAGGTAATTCAAGTCATTAAAATTCCACCTTGTCTTTTTCTCGTATTTTGGTTTGTCTTAGATGTAAGGCTACGAAAACTTGCTGGAGAAAAAGAGGAGCTGCTGTCCCAGGTAAAGACCGCGTCCTTCTACTGTACGTGTGGCGCCAGTGTATGACGGGGAGAGGAAAGCGTTCTGGGGCCTAGGTTCAGAGCTCAGCTCTACCACACTTGGACTGGTGTGAGCCCCCGTCACAAGTTCCCGGGACCCCTGAGGCCTTTGTCTCACATTGTCTAAGGTGGGAGTTGGGCTCGACCCCCCAAGGGCCTGTACTGCAGAACATCTCTAGTGTCCCTGGATTATGAAGTCAGGATAATAAAGCAAGGTGGTGTTTTCTTTGGAGGGTCATGGCTTTCCTCTTTGATTTCCCTCCCAAGATTAATCAGACATGGGCATCTTTTTCCTGTCTGTACTTTGTTGGACAGGCTTAGCCATCCCTGCTGCAAACTCGTTGGCAGTGAGCCACGTGCCCTGGGTCTCTTCAGGAGCTCCCTCTCCCAGACAGGGTGGTGGGTGCAGCATACCCTCACTGAGATGCTCAGAAAGGTGGCTTGCATTGAGAGAGGCTGCCTAGGCCTTCATTCATCTCAGAGTCTGGGCTTTAGGTACTTAAAAAGTCCTCGAGTCGTGTGTCCGTGAGCTGGGTCCACCACTGTTAAATTTACGATGAGTGAGGAAGCCAGTCCCAGAGCCAGCTTGGGGCCACTCTGAGCACCCGCCTCCAGGTGCGCCTTCTGATGAGGGGCTTCTGGCCTAGCTCAGCAGCGTGCCTCGCCCTCCCCTTGTCTCGTTGTGAAGGTGCTGTTGAGGTGGGGAACATTTATGATTAGAACACCCACACCACCCCTAAAAATGGTGATGGGTCTTTTTTTTTTTTAAACCGACTCCCCTCCCTTCAGAAAGGACTCAGATTGTAAAGTGGGGTGGCTTTGCATTTTGGAGAAGATGATCGGGTGCTTCTTGGCCAGGCTGTGTGCTCATGCTCTGCCCCTCGGCCCGGCCCTCCCGGAGCCAGCCTGTTGGTTTGCATAGCAAGCTTGGTGGCAGTGTGCCCTCGTGTTACGATGTCTGTCTGTCCTGATTTCAGATCAGAAAGCTGAAACTGCAGCTGGAAGAAGAAAGACAGAAGTGCTCTCGGCATGACGGCACATTTGGAGAACCCGGGGGACTGGAGAATGGCTCAGACCTGCAGTTCATTGAGATGCAGAGTATGTATCGGACCAGAGTTGGCGTGGGGTGGGGTAGCCCACCCCAGAGCGACCCGCGTCCCTCCCTCTCATGTGTCCAGATGGACATCATGGGGCAGCCCCAGGCTCTTTCTCCACTGGATTTCAGGGGCTTTTTGTTGGGGCTTTCATTCATGAGGCCCTCAGCACAGGGTGAGCTGCAGACGGGCCGTCAGAAACCGAGTTCTCCTTGGGAAGGGCTCAGTCGGAGGCCTGGGGTGTCCAGGCTCCCCTCTCAGGAGTCCGGAGGGCTCCCTCTCCATGCAGAGGCCTTGGGGCTGTGTCTCCTTTCCCTGACGGAGTGGCTTTTCATCATCAATTTACAGTAGGCGCGGTGGTGGCTGTCTTCCTTTCACTTGTGAAAGGAAGATGGTGTTGGCTGAAGGAAGTGGTCAGGGAAAGCCGGCGCATTTCCTTCCTGGGTTTTTATTAAAGATCCCCCTCCCCATGTTGAGGCGAGAAACGAGAGCAGGGGTAGGGAGCCTGCAGCCTTGAGTCCCCTTTCTTGAAGGGGATTTGTTCTGTGAAGTTTGGATTCAGTCCAAGGGCCACACTTGAGCACCTAGAGGGCCACATTTGGCTTCAAGGCTCCACGTTCCCCACGCCTGACCTAGACTCACGTACATCCACACCAACGTGTCTAGATATACCCTCCCGCTCTGCCTCCCCCTGGTGGTGGTGGAGAGTTTTACTTTATCCAACCTCTAGGTAGTCCCTAGCCCGGCTCCCCATTTCTGCCCTCTGGAGTCAGGACAACGGTGGTCTTCCTTCTCCTCCATGACAGCCCTGGCCAAGATGGTGGAGTAAAAGCAGCGACTTGCTTGAGCTCTCCCCCAGACTCCTCCAAATACCTGTAAAAAATGGCTCTAAACAAATTCTAGAGCAGCAGAACCCACAAAAAGACAGTGTGAAACAAATTTCCAGCCCAAGACAACCTGGATGGTTGATTGGAAAGGTCTGTTGTGCTGGGCTGGGAGAAGAGCACAGTTCAGTATGGGCCACGCAGGCTGCAAAGGCAAAGAATAGTCCTCAGTGAACTTAGAGCAGTCCTTAGGGTATTGAATCAAGGGGAACTGTGGTGGTTTTCAGACTTCTCAACCAAGAAACACCAAAGAAAACTTAGAAGGTCAGTAGGAAAGGTCTGTCAGACCACAGTGAGAGAGGGCCTCGGTCTGGCCCCAGTCCCAGTGTATCCCCGGGACGGCAGCTGCTTCCTGAGCTCTCAGCCCACAGACTGAGGGGTAATCAAGTGGCTGATCAGAGGGGGATTGCAGGGATCTCTTTGCTGGTGCTGGTGCAGGATTCTCTTGCTTTGCCTGTGCTTGGATTTGGGTCACAGCTCTGGGTGGTGGTCCTGGGGCAAGGAGGAGTGCTGGCGTGGTGGAGCTTGTGGTGGCAGTAGAGAGGGAATCCTCCTTACAGTTCCAAGGCAGAAAAGAAGAGCTTGTGATTACTCATAGACCAGAGCCCCAGGCCAGGAAAGGAGTAAACACCTCGCTCTTGATCATACCACCTTGGAAGAAATGAAAACTTACAGATCCCTAGAAGTATCTCTGAAAACAGCTGCACAAAACCCTCAAAGCTTGGGACAATACATTCTCCACACTGGAAGCAGATCCCTACCTTAATGAAGGGTTTAAAACTCAAGTAATTGGCTGGGATCATGAGCAAACTGTGCAAAAAAAGTCAGACCATAGAATCTTTCTTTGGTAACAAAGAAGATCAAAACATACAATCAGAAGAAGAAAACAAAGTCAAAGCTCCTACATCCAAAGCCTGCAAGAAAAATATGAATTGGTCCCAGGCCATGGCAGAGCTCAAAAAGGATTTTGAGAAGCAAGTAAGAGAAGTAGAGGAAAAACTGGGAAGAGAAATGAGAGTGGTGCAAGAAAATCATGAAAAATAATAAGTCAATAGCTTGCTAAAGGAGACCCCCCCAAAAAATTGAAAAAAAATAACACCTTAAAAAATAGCCTAACCCAAATGGCAAAAGAGGTCCAAAAAGCCAATGAGGAGAAGAATGCCCTAAAAAGAAAAATTGGACAAATGGAAAAGGAAGTCCAAAAGCTCACTAAAGAAAATACTTCCTTAAAAATTAGATTGGAGCAATTGGAAGCTAGTGACTTTATGAGAAATCAAGACACTGTAAAACAAAACCAAAAGAATGAAAAAATAGAAGACAATGTGAAATAGCTCACTGGAAAAACAACTGACCTGGAAAATAAATCCAGGAGAGATAATTTAAAAATTATTAGACTACCTGAAAGCCATGATTTAAAAAAAAAAAGAGCCTAGATGTCATCTTTCAAGAAATTATGTAGGAAAACTCCATGACAGCCCTTCGCACATGGAGACAGCTGTCAGAGCCCCCCAGGACCCTGGTTGCCCTTCAGCCTCTCAGTGACCTTACATGGTCACAGAGCAGAACACTGCTGTGATCTGAGCAGGGCCGAGTATTGCAGGATGCCCCCCTCTGCCTGTCCCAGGAAGCCTGGCCTCTCTTAGGGCAGCTTGGTTGTCATGTCACACATTGAACTTAAGAGGCCACAAAAATCCTCAGATGGAGTTATTTTCTTAAAAATTACATATTTTTCTTTTTTTATTAATTCATTTTTAGTTTTCAACAATCACTTCCATATGCTTTTGAGTTTTAAATTTTTCTCCCCTTCTCTCCCCAGGACAGTGTGCACTCTGATATAGGCTCTACACATAAATTTCTACTAAATGTATTTTCACATTGGTTATGTTTTAAGGAAGAATTAGAACCAATGGGAGGAACCACGAGAAAGAGGAAACAAAACAGAACAGAAGGAAAAAAAAGAGCAAATAGTATGCTTCGATCTGCATCAAACTCCATAGTTCTTTCTTTGGATGTGGATAGCATTTTCCATCATGAGGCCTTTGGAAATGTCTTAGATCCTTGCATTGCTGAGAAGGGTTAAGTTTATCAGTATTAGTCATCGTACAACGTGGCTGTGATTGTGTACAGTGTTCTCCTGGTTCTGCTCACTTCCTTCAGCATCAGTCCATACAAGTCTCTCCCGGTTTTTCTGAAGACCACCTTCTCATCATTTCTTATAGCACAATAGTATTCCATTACATTAATATACCACAACTTGCTCAGCCATTCCCCAATTAATGGGCATTCCCTCAATTTCCAATTCTTGGCCACTACAAAAAGAGCTGCTATAAATATTTTTGTACATGTGGGTCCGTTTCCCATTTGTATGATCTCTCTAGGATATAGCCCTAGAAGTGCTATTGCTGGGTCAAAGGGTATGCACATTTTTACAGCTCTTTGGGCATAGTTCCAAATTGCTCTCCAAAATGGTTGGATCATTTCACAACTCCACCAACAACGCATTAGTGTCCCAATTTTCCCACCTCTTCTCCGACATTTATCATTTTCCAGTTTTGTCATGTTGGCCACTCTGATAGGTGTGATGTGGTACCTCAGAGTTGTTTTGATTTGCATTTGTCTAATCAATAGTGATTTAGGGCATTGGAACTGGCCGTTTTTAGCATGTGGGGTTGGGATCTTTCTTTGTGTTTATGTGAATCAAAGAAGAGGTGGAGATGCCCTGGTTTTCTGTTGTGGGCCCATAGAAGGCACCACCATGCACAGAGGGCTAGGCCTGAGTTCAAATTTAGCCTTGGGTACTTTCTAGCTGTAGAACCCGGGCCAAGTCACTTTGCCTCTGTCTGCCTCATCTGTAAAACGGGAATAATTATAGCCCTTCCCTCTCAGGGTTCTTGTGAAGACCAGCTGAGCTAGTACTTGAAAAGGCCTTAGCATAGTGCCTGGCACACAGTAGGTGCTTCATCAGTACTGCTTCCCTTTGTAATCCCAGCCCACAGCCCTTGGAGATAGCGAGCCTCTCTCTTGGGAGGTAGACCAGCTGGCAGCATGCCCTCTGACCTGGGGGCCGTGGCTGCTGATGCCTGTGTGAGTGCTCATTGTTGTCTTTTGTTCCAGGAGATGCCAACAGACAAATTAGTGAATACAAATTCAGGCTTTCAAAAGCAGAACAAGATATAGCAACCATGGAGCAAAACGTAAGTGCTTCCTGGATATATTTTGTCCCCAGAATCCCATCGTTTTGGAGCTGGAGGGGAACTGCAGCCATCTGTCGCAGCCTCCAGTGCCAGCCTGTGCGTTCCACATCCCCCCACGCCTCATCCCCACGTGGTCCCCATTCCATGCCCCCACCCGCCTCATCCCCATGTGGCCCCCAGTCCCTGCCCTCGGTTGAGCAATTTCGTCCCATTTGCTATGGTCAGCTCTCAATCCCATGACCGTCTGGGACTTTGCTCAGAGACCCTCCTCTGGTGTATCAAATGCCTTCTTGGGCACGGGCTGTCCGACACCCCTCAGCCCCTCAGTATTTGTCAGGATCTCATTCCGTGGCTGGCTATTAAAGCTAGTAGGGGGATTCAAAACATAGTTTCTCCACTTGACAAGTATTGTGGGGGGAAAATCAGCAGCCCACTAGTCCAAGTGAAAATCCCTTGGGATACAAGTCTGTGCTCTTGCTCAAACTCTGTCTTCTTTGTCCCCTTGAATGACATTGCCTCAATCCCCAAGAAAGGGGTAACCACAAAACGTGGACGTGGGAAGTGGCCTGGCCTTCTGAGGACCGTCCAGCTGGAATCCCGGGGGGGGGGTGCTTTGGATTTATAAATGGCGACCCATGAGTCACTGGCAGGGACTGTGGGCTTGGTATAGCACTCGGATACTGGTTATGTGATGTTTCCACCAGGGATTTCCCATCATGTCAGCTGGTTCTGCCACCAGCTGCTTTCCATGGGGTAGAGGGTGGGGGGGCACGCTGGGAGACGCGGCCTCATGGGTGACTCCTGCTTACAGATCGGGAGGCTGGAAGGACAGGTGGCCAGGTACAAGAGTGCGGCCGAGAACGCAGAAAAAGTGGAAGATGAGCTCAAAGCGGACAAGAGGAAGCTTCAGCGCGAGGTACTTGCTTCAGAGATCCCGAGGGGTGGCACCTGCATTTGAGAAGGCCCGTGGGTCAAGATTCTGTGTGGTTCTGGGACAGCGGGAGGGAATGGGAAGGGAGACAGAATGCTGATCATTCACATAATGACAAATGAGGTGGACGTCTCACAGGTCCTTTGGTTGAGTGCCCTGGCCCTTGGCTGTTTGCAGGGTCAGCCTGACAGGCTGCACCAGTCCCTCAGAATGGGCCAGCGTTTGTGCACCTGACTGGGTGATGGCCCTGCCTTCCCCAGCATCAGCCTGGCCCAGGAAGCCCAAGAGCCCAAGCAGAGCCCTTGGCCCCATTTTCAGAGCCCTGAATGTTTTCTCCTGCTAATAGTAGCCCCCTTGGTCGTTCCTGTTGGCCAGATCCATTTATCCAGCCTGTATCCATCTCTCTCCTGACTTCGAACCCTCCTTCACCTGCACCAGCTGGACATGTCTGTCCAGATGTGCCATGGCATCTCTAACTTAGCACTTCCCAGATGGAATTAGCTTCTCTTGAAAGCAGGCTTCTTCCCCTACACTCCCTTTTTCTGTTTTGTGTCCCCACACCATTCCTGGCACCTACATTCCCAGTCCTGGAGCCAGACCATGCTCTTCCCACACCTCCTGTGACCAATCAGGTGACAAGCAGCGCTCTTTCTGTGGCCCCTCTATGCCTTTCGCATCTGTCTCTTTCTCTGGCAACAGTTCCCAGCTAGACTCGGGACTTTCTGAGCCTTCCCCTCCTCCTTGTGCTCCACAAATCCTCCTCCTGCTACAGTTGTGTTCCTGAAGCCAAGGGTGAAGCCAGGGAGCTGGGGCTCAAACACTGACTCGAGTCAGCCTTTCCAGGCCCCTTGCCCCTTATGGACCCCTTAGCCCTGAGGGGGCCCTTAGAATCCCATCATGGGCCCTCTTCACCGGGGCTTTTTTTCCCCCAACAAAGCTCTCCCACTGCACTTGCAAGGGAGGGAACGAGGCCTTCCTCCTGTGTTCTCTCCTGGGGGGCCCTCGGCCTTTGCATGCCCACCAGAACCCAGGCACGGGTGGCTTCTGGCCCGTGGGCGCCTGAGCGGTGCTGTTTCTCTGTGCAGTTACGGACGGCGCTGGATAAGATCGAGGAGATGGAGATGACCAACAGTCACCTGGTGAAGAGGCTGGAGAAGATGAAGGCCAACCGGACAGCCCTCCTGTCCCAGCAGTAGACTGCAGCCTCCTCACGTGGGGCTCTGCCCACCTGCGCCTCTCCCCGGGGGTGGGTGAGCTCAGGCTCTTCCCCCACCATTGACACAACCGTTTGAATACCCTGCTGTCCAGTACTATTTTTGATGATGAAAGTGGCATCCTTTTACTGTGTAATTTATGAGAGAATGAAAGCGGTTTGAACCTGTGAACGAATTGGCTTTTATTAGCAGTTTGATTCTAGAGGAAGAGCTGGTCGACCCCTGTGACTTTTTGACTGCAGTACAATCCCCCTCCTTGCCGCCCGAGGGCTTGGAGGACCCGCCGATGCCCAGAGGAGGAGAGGAGGAGGCTGCTCCTGCACCTGCTTCCCTCTGGACTTGCTCGAGACAGCCTGTAACACAAGTGCCTTCTCCGTGGTGCACCCTGGAAATCAAATAACGTTTATATTTTTAAGAGAGACGCATGTGGGGCTCGGGCAGTATGCTCGGTGAACTTTGTATGTTTTAAGGGAAACTGTTTTTGTAAAATATTTAAATTTATATCAGAAAATGTTAAATGTATATCAACTTGCTTTATCGCATGGGTGATGGCACACCTGTGGTCCTAGTTTGTTGTCATGGGATGTCCAAGGCCTGAGACTCGGAAGAGTAGGGACAAGATGGTGTACACTGTAAATTGTATTTTATCTGCTGCTTACTCTTGGGATGAGAGCTGACGAATTGTGGTGGGGAGGGAGGGGTCAGGCAGGTGGGCCTGGTATCTGGATGGAAACGCTATTAAACAGACACTTTCCAGACCAATGAGGGCTGTCGCTGCGTTCTTTTGAACCCTGCCTGGCCCACCCTACCCTCCTTCCTCAAACCTTTTGTCTTTTAGCTTACTGTCTTTATTACTGTTTTCAGATATAAGTCCATCGTCCTCAGCAAAGGCCATTGCAAGGGGTTAGGACTTGCTGTCACCTGGGGGGAAGAACAGTGGCCATTTCTTCAGATTTTAGACACCGTCAGTGGTTTCACAAGAGTGACTTGAAAAAGAACCGTCAGCGCATCCGTCGTGTCTTGCACCCATGAGCCCTTTGATTGGGTTAATGGAATGTCAGAATTAGAGCAGTGGGGCTATTCTCGAGAAGCCCAACCAAGGAGCCAGTGGTGCCCCGAGAGGCCAGGCATGTTCAGGGGAAAGGCCCCTCTGTTAAGACACACGTACTGGCGGTCACCAACCCTCCCCTAGCTAGCGCTCCTTCCCTGGGCTCTGGAACACACTCACCCCATCCCTGGACTAAAGTGACCCATAAGCTGACTCTTCATAGAAAGAATTCTTAGGGAAACATGACTCAGTTTAACGAGACGTTTAAGGGACAATCATCTTGATTTCCATGTACACGTGGCTACTGTAAGAATCACTGATTTTTAAACTTCAGCTCCTGGAGCCTTGGGCGTGGGTCGCCAAAGGACGAAAACCTTTTGCCTTGAGCTGTTCCTATGGCCAATGTAACAGCTGCTGTCAGAGCTCCTCCCAAACTGCCCTAGAACAGCCATCGTGTATTTAGGTAGAATTAATGAGCTCGTTTTTAATGAACGAGTAAAGGTTGGAACATTCAGTCCCACGTTTTGTGAGTACTTCTCATGTGCAAGGCTCTCACTGGATAAAAACAAGTCTGTGCCGTCACAGAATTTAAAATCCAGTTGGTGAAGGGAAGGTGTGAAATGTACACAAATGTGATAGGAAATGATCTACTGCTTTAGCAGGGTTAGAATGGTCTGAGAGAACGAAGGATGGCGGAATCCCAGATTTCAGGAGGCAGACTTGGGGAAACTCCACGGAGTCGCATCTATACCAGGAACGTGGGAAGGAGTCGTTATGGGAACTAAGTCTGGGAAGAAAGTGGGTTGCAGCCGGGTTGCTGAGGCCGAGAATGTCAAGCTAAGGAGCTTTTCATTGCAGGAGGGGAGCTGCCAGTGGTTTTGGGGAAAGTTGGGAGGCTGTGCTAACTTCTTCAGGGGCCAGCATCAACAGGAGTAAGGAAGCCGGAAGGGGAAAAGTGCTTAGCACCGAGTAGGTTTCATCTGCGGTGCTGGTACCAGTGGGCGGCTGGAGATGGAGGGTGAGTCCGAGAAGTTATGTGGACCTGTCTGCTTAGAGGTGTCAGTTAACGGCCATCGGGGTGGAGGAGACGACCAAGAGAAAGCATGATGAGAAGAGGGCCAGGGAGGAAAGGGTGGAAGGGGATTGATTGGGGAGCCATCAGGGTGAGAGAACTCGGGGTCACTGAGGTAGGGGACTTAGAGGTCCCTAAATCCAGCCACTGGTGACCACAGAGAGTGGGGTCCTGGTGGCATGCTAGGACAGAGTCCACACCACAGAAGGGTTCAGTAATGAAGGAGGGAAAGGGGAGGGAAGGTATGCCCTTCTAGGGTTAGCAGCGGGGAAGAAGCACTGTTGAAAGTAGTGTCCCACGGTATGGTGCTGGCCTTGGAGTCCAGCCTCCCAAGTTCAGACCCCATGCTTACTAGCTTTCTGGTCCTGGGTAAGTCACGTAAGACCTACAATTCAGGAAATCCTTTTTCTCCAAATCACCTACCATGTGATCGACACGGGGAACAAGGACAAAAATTATCCCTGCCCTCAAGGAGCATACGCTCTAGTGGGCACAAGTCAGGAAATACAGTGTAATTTCCAGGAGGGAGCATTTAAAACGGGGGGAGTAAGAAAAAAAGACCCAAGAGTAAACGGCACCTGAGGGTCTAGAGGAAGGCGTGGGGTCTCAAGGATGCAAAGGAGGGAGGATGACGGGCTGTGTACGGGGAGGAGCCAGCAGGCTCTTCCAGCCAGAGATCCAGTGAGCACGAGCCAGCTGGCCACGTGACCTTTGAATATGCTTGGAGAGGAGCCACTGAAGACATTCACAGGAGAAATACGGTCAAGTTTGGACGTTCAGGGTAATTTGGCTGCTGCGAGAAGGCCAGACTGCAGAGGGATGAGGCTGGAGGCAGAGAGGCCGACTTGGACGCTAGTACAGATGCCCAGGTGATGACAGGTTAGGGAGAGGGCCGTGTGCGCAGAGGCGAGGAGGAGCAATGGGGGCCAAAGCTATCAACGTGGGCGGCCGGAAAGGTGGTGGTGCCGTCCGTGGGAGCCGGTGAGTTCGGTGGAGGGATGCACTCGTAGGGAAAGAAGAGGATCTGGTCAGAAGATGTCACGTCTGAGGAGTCTTTGGTTCAACCAGGTACAAGACGGTGGGGGGCAGTTTGCAATGTGCCAGGAGGGAGAGAAAGCCAGTTAGTCACCTTCAGAGAAAGAAGCGTAGCTGATGAGATCAAGAAGAGCCGATAGAGGGAGGATCTGTGGTGAGCAGGTGGGAAGAGAAACCAGCAGAATAGGCCAAGGAGATCTCACGCAGGAGGAAAGCCCAAGGGTGGTGTACAGGGAAATGGCACGGTCAACAGTGCTAAAGGCTGGAGAGAGGCCAAAAAGGATAGACTGAAAAGGCCACACAGTATTTAGCAGTCGAGATCTCTGGGAATCTTGGAGAGAGCTAACGTGCAAAGTGGACGATTTCCAAGCCTGTTACTCCATCTAATATGAGGCCCAGGCATTTCCACTGACTTCCTCACTGGGAACTCTACAATGAAATCACAGGTCTGGATCTTGTCCTTCCCCATGTCCCCGTCCCTCTACGAACCCAACACAATCTCGCACTATCTCCCTGCTAGCAACAGTGTGAGAAAAGCACTCAGTAAGGCTTTAGGAGGGGTTCTCAAAGATGAAAGCTAGGGGATGTTGGTGAAGTAAGAGTCCCCCTAAGAAGAGGTTAGATTTGCAAAGAGAAGGGCATTGCCTCCCCCAGTGAGAATGCAGGATGAGATGCTCTCCATCTGTGAAGCATCACCTTTGTGGACTCCCAGAGGGTCCCCGTTCCAACAAAGCCAACATCCAAGGTCATCCAGCCCCTCTTTGAAGATAGACAATGAGGGTAGGGACTCTTTCTACTTACGTCGCGAAGCCCAGATGTGCCTCTTCGCAACTCCAGTCAATGTGCCCGTCAACCAGCATTTGTTGAGGGCATACTAGGGGTACAAACCCCAAAGCAAAGTAGCCCCTCCCCTCAATTTATGCTCTATCTAATCAGTGGACATGGCCTTGACACAATCAGGTACATGCAACATTCTGTGTAAGGTCCCAGGTAACTGGAGGGAAGGGTCCTGCAGCTGGGGAGACCAGACATGGCTTCCAGACATGGATGTTCGAGCTGAATTATGGACTTTGCTGGCGAAGTCAGTCAATGTGCAAGGATATGAGGGTATACGAGGTGAGTTTGGGGGAGAGGCATTGGCTGCTGGGGTCGGGGGGGGGGATTCAGGAAAGGCTTCACGCAAGTGGAGCGTAACCTGAGCTTTGAAGGCAATAAAGAATTCTGAAGGGTGAAAAGAAGGCAGCAAATTTCAGGAGGGGACAGGGCAGGGAAATGCCTCTGGGACGAAGCGTTGAATGTGAGGAGAGGCCAGAATGTAAAGCGTGTGAAGGGGAATCCTGTGCAATGGGCTGCAGAGGTTGGCCGGAGCCAGCTGGGAAGGGCTTTAGTGCCTGTACTTGGTCCTAGACCAGGAGGGAGACGCAGAGCATAATGCCAGGGTCACAAAAGCGGGGACACAAGATGAATCCTGTTCTGGGCCAGGTGCTGGGGATGTGAGGACCGAAGAGGAATCAATCCCTGGGCAGGAGGAGCTTAACAGGAGTGGGGGCGCAGGGAGACAAACACATGGAGAAAGAGTAGTGATACAGAAGGTAGTCTGCGGAGGCCGCCAGCATTGGAGGGGGTCAGGGAAGACTGCATGCAAAAGATGGCGCCTGACCTGCATGGTAAAGAAGGGCCCTAGGAGGGCCAGACACGGGACACTGCGGGAAAAGGCCAATTGCTGTGGCAGGGGACACGGGGTGGGGCCACATCAAGAAGGGCTTTCAAGAAGACTGTCGGGTGACATGACACGTTAACCCTGAGCCAAGCGGGAGCCACGAGGCCCTACTTGGGCAGCTGAGGCAGCACAGACCAGAGGGAGAGACTCGAGTCGGGGAGACTGTTCCCCAGGGATTGTTGGCACGAGGGTACCGAGATCAGAGAGTGGCTGAGATCTAATGCGGGAGGATTCACTTCAGTAGGCAGAGGTGGAGCTTCGAGAGGGGGGAATCCTCCAGGCAGTCAGTAATCATTTATTGAAGCCCTACTGTGTGCCGGGCAAGCGCTGAGGATGCAAAGGAGGACAGAAACCATCCCTGTCCTCCAGGGCCTCCCAGGCATGGAGAGGGCCCGTCGATCACCAGCTCTGTGCAAGGAAACAGCAGATAGAAGGATCGCCTAGGAGGCGGCACTAAGTTGGAGTCAGGTGGGAGGTCCTGGGTGAGTGAGCCTGCCGAGTCGGGAAGGGCTCCTGATCTGGGACTTCCCTCTGTGTTTCTCTGAAACGGTCCCGTCTGTTGTTTCCCATCACACTCAGACTGCCACGACCTGAGCTGTCCCCACTGAGGGGCACCCCTTAGTTGGCAGGTCTTTGCAGCTACGAAGAGGCACCTTCTTTTTAAGAGCCGCACTGATCATTTGAATTTCTGCGCAGCTTTTTCCTGTTTTCCCTCTGGAATCTCATTCTTGAGCCGTTCTCCCTCCTTAGACAAGGGCCCCTGTGGGATGCTGGCTCGTGAGATGTCAGGGTGCATGCCTCCATCTTGCTCTTTCTCTCCTCTCCTCCTAATTCTAGGAAGCCAGAGTTCCATCATCTCTGCCCTAGAAACCAGTTCTATTAGTGAA